AGTTAATTGAGCGTACTTCTTGCAGAATAACCTTGGAAGTCGTGTTTTCGAGTTTGGCTTCTTGTTACCTTGTGAATTAGCGATGAATGAGCGAGAAATAAAACCAAACAGGCATAAAGTGCAACAAGAAAGTGTATAATCGTCTCTTTGTTGACATACGTTGTGAGAAATTTGAAAGTTATAATTGCAGAGTTTTATTTTAATGGACGTAGTAATTTCATACAAAAAAAATTATAATGAAGCAATTTTTCAGTGATTTATTGTGAATACGACTTATTTTACAAATAGCATGTTGATTTATTGCAATTCCAACTGGTAACTCAATCTATGAGTTCATATTGCTCGATTCTGATTGTTTGCATGCTTCGTTCGTGCACTGCTTGCTTCTTTACGTCTTGCGAACGTAATTTAATCACGTCGATCAGGGTCATTACACGCTGCCCGCTGCTCGCCGCCGTCTAATGTAACAATAATAACACGATTCGTCAATATTTTCTGTCTGCTTGGCGGTGCGCACGCACTACGCACAAATGCACACAAATCGAAATGAAATTTCCGATTTTTTCATATCGTCAGCATTGTCGGCAACATATGTGAGTTGATATAATGCACACAATTGTTCATGAAAGGAAGTTAGCATCATGTTTTCTAAAAGATATCAACTGACATGTGTTCATACGATAACAGCATTAAATGCCCATAAATGGCTATACTAATTATTTATGAAAATTTTGCATATTACAAGCATTTTACAACAGCTTGACAATATAATTAGGTCCATATTTGATAGCCAATTTCATACTACAAAGAGGGGAACGCTTACGGATGCGAAATTTGGGCATGCTATATGAACAAACGCCGAACTAGGCTAATATGAATTATGATACGGTCTAAAAGTGCCGAAAACGCGTTAATCGGCCGTGATAATGAAACGGAATGTGTGCGTGTATGGTGCGCAAGCAGTGCTCACTTTGCTTACATGCTCTTGTTGTGCTTATATTAAACACATCTAGCAAACACCGAGCTTACAAACTTTTCTACGCTTTGTATACCTATAGGATGAAGTCTAAACACATCATGTACGTGCTAGGTCGGTACGTGAAACATCGACGCCAAAATTAAACACTGCGGGTACCATAACATTATACCAGCGATAATGTATTAGAATTATAAAACGTTTACTAATTTAAAGTTAAGCCATTGTCGACAGTTTGCTAAAACATAGTTTGTATTGGAGCTTTTAGAATATTGACGTTGAGACACCTGCTCTCACCTGTTACTCATACAAAGTAGTAAGTTTTCAACGTACTATGATCACAATATTATTGGTAGACATGAATATAATATTGATTCTTGATATTGTTAAATGTGAATGGCACATCTTGTGTCTGCCAACATGCAGGAAATCGCATCGATTTTCTGTCATTGCTCGTGCAATGTTTGTAATTTCCGTCTGTGCGGCTATCTCGATAACACTTTTACGACTCCATTCAATGGGATTGAATCAAACTGTATAATGCTATTGATATTTTTTATTCTTACAATTCTCGTGATATTCAATTGTTGGAACAGTTATTATTTACGCGCCAATGCTGAGTTAATATTTTCTTTTATGATGTTAATAAAATAAATTTATTATTATTCAGCGTATACCTATGACTCTAATTTTGAGAAGAAACGTACGCACTGTTCGTGAAAGCAAACATAAACAAGTGCTGTGTAAATGTTCCGTTTAATAATTATTATTTTTAACGAGTGTGTCACTCCTCCATATGGCGCTGCGACATATTTGCCATGACGACAGACGTATGTTTACCATCATCGTTTGATCGCAGCGAGGCAAATAAGTAAATTAAATTGTAGCGTCCGATGTAATTTCAAGGCGTCTTATGCACTTAAATACCGATGTTCTTATTTGTACATACTTTTTACTATATATGGCAATATCAACTCGAGTTTATCATTGAATTATAACGTTTTATAATGCGTTTTGTCTGCGAAATGTTCATTTAATCGCAAAGTTCTTGAACAACTTTAAATGACACAACTTTTGGTAAAACTGCAAAAGTTTGTTTTGTTATTGCCATGAAACACGTGTGAGTTTTTGCTTGGCGCTGGAAGCTGCTTGGAAACGACCATCACGGGGATGCTCTTGACGCGCGCGAATGTTGTAGCGGAAGGTCAGGTCACATCCCCAGTTTCAGCTCGCGCTGCGCAGCAGCCAGCCACGAGGAACTCGTTCACGGTCGAGGTCGTGCAATATCGATTTGCGACCATGCGAAATTCGAGCAAACGCAATGCAACCGCTGGTGGCTGCCTGGCTGCTGGGCAGGGAGACGCACAACAGTGGTGGAACCCAAACGCACCCCCGAATGTATATCGTGCTCTTTTTGGTACGAAACGGTCGATCGACACGCGAGGGTTCTTCGCAAAGCACGCGCATTAAATTGGCGGCTAGGTCGGGCACCAGAAGTGTGTCACACGCTACTGCTTGGATTTTCATCCTCATATGCCATACGAGCTAATTCACGAACCCAATATGCAAATGTACAGGTGTAAGTGAAAGCACAATCTATAATTTGAAGGGATTATTGATTTTCGTGCCAGTATGTGTGATTTAATCTGATATAGAGTCTGCAAATATATTCTGAATTGGCATCTTGAAGCGAATTTAGCTTCCCGAATATCTGAAAGTGTGTCACGCGCGCTCGGCAACAACAATTCATCCTTCATCCCTCTTGTGGCGTCGGATTCGCTTTTCGGTCCACAATTTCAAGGTCACGCAGAATAATCCCCAACGCGAGGCGATGACGCAGTTAGCAATTGAGTTCATCTTATTTTATTTTATTCTTCCATAATTTTGCATGAAATTGTATTGAAAAGCAAGGACAAAGAAATTCATGAATAAATACATCAAAACAACCTCATTAGGAAGGAAATGTAAAAAATAATCAAAACACTTCAATAAAAATGTGATCTCAATATCGCTTTAATGACGCACATACTAAAATCACTGATTTCTCGGATTAGTCCGCGACGATTTTAATTAATCGTGCGTTTCTAGCACTTTGTTTCCTAATGTAACCAGCCGTACATCTTGAATCATTAACGAAAGTTACGATTAATTAATCGTTAATGTTGGAGGCGAACTACATGTGAAACCACACACATGCTGCACGCGCATTGCGCACGTTTCCTATTCGTTACGCGTGTCTATTAGTAATTAGCTGGCAATACGAAAACTAAGAAATAACTATTAATTCGCTCTTAATCATTGGCAGCCTAATTGATTTCCGCAGTGCTGAGCATAACAATGTTCGACGTTGGGTTGCTAACCAAGCTTGAATAGAAAATCGTGCGCGATTCGAAGCAAAATTGCACAGAAAATCAAAGAAAATTATCGAAAGCCATTATTGAAAGCAAATGATAGAAGATTATAGGAAGCGATCGGCAGAGGTCGATATTAAAAATTCGAAGATGCGGATGGCGACACGATGGCTGAATACAACATTAAGACATTTGCTGGGATGTATGAATTGATTGATGAGTTAAGATTGACTTGAAAGTCGACATATACGATGCAAAATAAGCACCAATTTGTCGAGAATATACTCTCATCGGGACTGCATGAAACTGCCTAAAGCGATATTTAAATTTGTCCGATCTATTATTAAATCAGTGCCATCGATGCAAATTTATATTCATGTTATGTTAGTAGTAGTGAAAATTACATTAACACTTTCACCCTTTATAGCTTCGCGTTTGATTTTCTATTAATATTGGATCGGAAGCATGTATAATACACGTGGCTTGATGAATTGAATTTTATACAATATTCAGGTTAAATTCATTTTCATTATCAAACCGTCTTTGTTAATGATTTGCTTTCGGTTGCTTCTGGCTGTTTATTATCCAGCGTTGCTTTCGTTTCACTTCTGTTCGTGGCTTTGTGATCAATTGATCGACATCTCAACCGGTTTGCATTTCATTGAGGTTTCGTTTTATTGTGCGGTTTCATTGATTTCCAATTTCTTTCAGTTTTCTACTGAAATTTTGCTCCTTTTTGTGGTTTATACCCGTGTGAAACAAAACAATTTTCTGGGTGCAACTTAATCATAAAATTTGTATAATACAACTTAATAAATTGATTTCGTTTTCTATACTTCCGCACTGATTTTTGCTGGTATTGAATGTTTTCATCGTGTCGTTTACTAACCACTGTCATGACAAACGGTTCGTTCATCTTTTTATGCTTTCTTCATTTTTCATGTTCAATCGAATGAGCGAGCACATTCAATTCAATAAGAAACTATTCATAGAAATTTTCCAATTTACAGGATGACTTTCAGTTTGAGTTACATTTTGTGCAACAATAAAAAGAGCACAAATGAAAAACAAGTTAATTGCAGAAGTAGAGAAACAATTAAATCAAGTGGCAAATTGATAAAAAGATAATACTTATTACATTTATATTAGATTTTAGATTACAAATTTAATTAGTTTAAGAAATAAAATGGATGGACTAACATTTGGGTCACAGTTTATTATACTAAACAATATATTTCTCATTAACAAACGCAATGAAACTATCGTTTAGTGTTTTCTGAGCCTACTTGCCCTTTATTTAAAAAATAGCCTAGACTAATGTTACAACACAATTTTTGTTAATTAATTTAATAATATAGCAATAATATAAAAAACGGAGGATTAAGCCAATCTGATTATATTAATTTATTAATAATAATATATAAAAGTATTACATATTTTTTTATATTGGTAGGTGTATATTCTATATAAAATGTTATAATTATTACTCTGCTTTCTGGTGTGAAATATTTAGTATCTGCAGCAGGTACATTCATATTTTAACGCGTAGGTTGTATGGCACGCAAAAAAGATTGTAAAGTTATTTATAGGCAACTAGCGCGATAGCATTGCATGCCAATCAGCCATAATGAAAAAGTGCATAAAATCTAAATGCTGTTTTATTGTCTTTCCAGATAGCGTAGGATAGAGAAATGTCAACAGCTGTGAGCGGCCATTCGGGGGCGGGTCCCTTGAGCTTAATGTCATGTGTCAGAGAGTCGTCGCCGCCGCAGGACACCGGCAGCGAGTACGAGCCGGAGAAGAACGGTGAGTTTTTGCATGCAATTAGTTTTCATTAGTTTTGTCTGAAACCAACTCCGACTAATTGGAAATTGAACATGGCGAACAGAAACTAAATCTACCTAAACACGCAATTAAAATTTTAAATCTAAAAATATATTAAGTTTCTAACATCTGTTATTATTGTACAGGTTGAAAAGCGAGAAAATTAACAAATTCCTATTGTTGAAGCAGTGGACGCTTACTAACTCATCAGATTTTTACATAACTGTAAAATTTGGAAAGCGTGAAACACAAATTTCAGCAAATTAAAAATTACATAAATCTCTCTTCACCAAAAAAGAACTTAACCGAAGCTAATACACTGAATAACAAAAGTAAGCAACACACTTTAGATGTGCAATTATGTTTTGCATTACTTAACCGTACTTTTTCTCTCGAGAGTATGTAAATTAAAATAATTGTAATTGCACGTTGTGTTAAATGTTGTAATTGTCGCATGCATTACATTACACGACAAATATTCATAGTGGCGGTTGGAGGCAAATGAGCAACAAGGAAAAAAAATCTACTTAGATTTATAGAACTACTTAATAGTGGCACACGCATGCTTGCGCACGATGTACAAGCATTCTAACCCGGTGTACCTATTTAATTACTCGATAATTACAGAAATTACGATGAAATTTTCTTTATAAACGCGCACAAAGCCAAGCTTGAGAATATAATTATTAAGCGTGTGCGTTTTAGTTGTAATTGCTAAAGGTGACAATTCCACAGATAGACCTATTAATACTTTTAACATGCAGGTGTAAATAGATTGCAACTTTTTCTAGATGTGTTTTTTTACTTCAGTAGTTGTTTACGATGGTGACTTTTTCCCTTGAACATTGATTAGAAATTAGTTTTTGCAGCGTTAGTGAAACGTAGCGAAATCGATTGAATTAACGCTTTGCAAGCACGAAACCTTACACGAACCGATGTACGCAGGACAGGGCCTTTCTTCCTTTCTTTAATCCGCGCCACGCGGCGAAACCTTGACGCTTAATGTGCTATGTGCACGTCTGAACGCGTAAAAAATGTCAACTGACATTTCCAAGCTGCTGTATCGCGTATCACATGTGCGAGGTTGCACTCAACATTAATGTTCACAGCAGTGGAAAGGTAATGAAATGTGTAATGCGTGATTTAAAAATGCTTCTTGCGCAGACACAACTTTAAGTAATATAAATTCAAACGATGGAATTGTTGGCGTAGATAACCGAAGCACGTAGCAAACAAATAAATGTTTAGTAACAGATCAAAGGTGACATTTCTACTGATTTTATCACTTCATTATTAAAAGAATGCTTTATTAAAAGCACCAAGCTATTGCAAAGTATGTTTCGCTTCGTTATGCAACGTTTGTTCTGTTAATAGTGTCTCGTAATATGTGTGGCACTGTTGCGAACTTCGGATTTGAATTAATAACAGAAGTAACGCAGTGAATTTTATGCGTTCGCGCATTTTTACACGTTTTTTACACATTCTTCGTTTCACACCATGCGTATATTCAGATTTCAAGCTTACACATCATAAAACAGTTTCACATTTTAGAAAAAAAAAATGACACCGATTCAATGGGCAGGAAATAAAAATGATAATTTTAACTTTAGTACTTGACTGAATATTTAAAAAAATGAAATTTAAGTACTTATGTATTTAAATTTTAATTTCTAATTGACTATTATTTTGTGATTTGTTTCTAACACATGGTATATTAGGAACATTATACGTGTGCACATTTCGCTTCATGCATAATTCAAATATGTTAATGTATAACTGAGTTGCGTTCTTCTACTTGGGGCATTTCAATTTTGCATTTATTATATATTTATATAACAATTTCTTCTTTTTTCTTTACTTCTAGTTGTTTTCCTTAATTTCTCTTGATCATATTCAATTCCGTGTTACATTACACACATATACGAGTAGTTCTTATCAATATGTGTCTGTTATCTAATATTAAAGAAAAAATGCAACATTATTTATTTTGTGCACCATATTTATATTAAACTTATTTTCTAAATAAAAAAGGTTAATTCTTTTCGTTCCGCAGGATAATAGAGCCGTTTATTTTGAAAGTGACCTAACTCCGTTTTTTAAATTTTTGCCGGTTACCATGGTTACATGTACAACTTCATGTTATTTATCAGTGACGCACTTCAGATTGCTTATATTCAGAGAAAATACGGTACATTTTTTACACATAAGTTTTCCGAATTAATTGAATAACTGAGCCGTGCAGTTTGAAAGTGGCCTAACTCCATTTATAGTTACATCAAGATATTTACTATTGATAATGTCGGAAAGCAGCGATGAAGGTAATTTCAATTAATTAGTATTTACAAGTTCACCTTATTTTTGGGACAATTGCGTTGGTTAATTAACCTGTACGTTTAATTAATATAAAACTTAAAATTTAATATTAAATTATAGAAATTATTGCACCCATGAGGAAGAACCGAAGAAGACCACTTAGTTCAGATAGTGAAAAAGAAATAGTTATTAATAAAAAAAAGCGAATAAGAAAAAGAGTTATAAAACAATATTCCTCGTCAGAGGATGAAGATTCAAATAACAATGGAGAAAAGATTGATGAACCATATATCCAAAAAGTGCGAAAGATAAAACGGAATTCAGGAAAAAGATATTGCAGTTAAACCGGAAGTATTGTTCATGAAAAAAATTTCGAAAACAAAGATTGTGGTTGTCGGAATGCGTGCACAAAAAATTATAATGAAGAAGAAAGAAAGAATATTTTTGAGAAGTTTTGGGGTTTGGCAGATTTTAACAAACAAAATGTATTACTTCACGAAGCTGTCTGTGAAACGAAGACGTTTTTTTTTCTTCAATTTGAAACATCTTAAATTATGTTGAATGGACTTGGGCATCTTCAAATTTTATAATGAATCTGGCTGTTAATTTTGAAAGTGGCCCAACTCCATTCTAGATAAGGAAACGCACGTTATTTACTTAATAATTGCCACTATTTTAACAGGAACTTTAAATTTAACATCCTAAGATATGCTTTAGCAGTATGACTCCTTTGTATCTTATACGTATATTTTTAAATTCATTGAAACGCAAAACTTTCCATATCTCGATTTGAAGATAAATGGAGTTAGGCCACTTTCAAAATAAGCGGCTCAATTATTATATTTAATATTGTTATTATTTTTATTTCTCTGTAATCCGTAGTTTAATAGACTGCAACATGGCAGTTGCAGTTTTATTATTGAAATGTTAGCCGCAATAGGAAGGATGTTTGTTATCGCTTCGTTTTATCGCTATTATCTCTTCTAACGTAAATACATCTTTAGCTTAATCGATCATCGCCATATCAGTTATTTGGGCTAAATAAATATGTACATTTCACATGTTTGCAATAGCTAGCTAGTAGAAAAATAAGAAAATATTACATTATGATATTATGCGGTTATATATTTTATTTGCATGATGAACATATGTCGATGTAGTTTAATCGTTTTTATTGCGTCGTTTTTTGCTCTTTTTTATTTCTTGTGCGGCGATGAAGCATTTTACTTTTTTTACGCTCGCATAAAATTTACATATGCCCATATGTCTGATCCTGAGGCAATGCGAGTTGTTGTGTGTGGCTATCTAACCATTTTATTACTGGTGTGAAATTTTGTTTTCAATCGTTGAGCCGACAAGGTTATGCGGTTTCTTTTTTCTTTCTTCCACTTTTTTTTTTAATTCGTGTCTGTAGTGGTCGAAGCCGCGCCACGTGCGTCTATTAACTTTATTTTTCGCTTCTCCGCCGTAACATTAATTAGCGTGCGCGCTTCATCGTGTCTGTTTCCTTTTCATAGATTTGAACCCGTTTACACGCGTTTTGTTTAGATATTGGTACCGCCAAACAAACGGCAAGTTTTTGTGTATACTGACTGAGACATACTTTCGAATATTTTACATCAATGAAAACAAAAATAAAGTTTTCCTTTAAACCAGCGCGTAGTGTTTTCAGAAAGTTTCACCTAGATGCTAATCAAACTCATTTTGTAATCAATCAGTAGAAATGTTTGTAACTTAAACTTGAACATGAGCGGCGTTGATGAACCACTAACTAACTCAAGGTGTTCATTTCCAGCCGTTTGCCTCGGGTTTCGAGTCGAATGGATGATGCTCTCTTCGAACCGAAAACGTTACTCGCATAATGTTTGTGTGTTTGCTCGTTTTCGTACGGCCATAACTGTAGTTTCAACTTGCGTCGGCGTACAAGATACACGTATCACATGCGTCGCTCCATAGTTATAAACACTATATGTACTCGTATAAGAGGTGCAAGCGAACGAAGAATATAGGTGAAACGTGATTCAAATGTACACAACCGCGTGGTTTAGGCCGATGGCAATCGTTGAGAGATCTGGGCCTTCGTGTCAAGCGCATTATATTAAATTCGTAAACTTTTAGCTTTAACTTTGAAACTAGAAAATGGTAGGAACACGAAAACACAAAGGTAGAACAACATTGAAAGAATGTTCTATTGAAAAAAAAACAATGTTTAATTTATCATACTTTTTTGTTCAAAATTAAGTTGTTATATTGTTATTTATGTATCCACAGTTTTGAACATGTCTAAATATTTTACGTTTAATGTAAAATGTGTTGCCTATAGATATCAAATTAAATTTATCAAATTTTGAATGAATTTCCAGATACAATCGTGAAACAGTGCCATTATTTTTGCAATCATTTCCATTTTCATTAGCGAAATGGATTTTTACAAGCAGGCACTTACGCCACATGTGTGTTTATTACTCTTCAGAGTCCTTTAGACAAATGTAGTCGGATGTAAATGAAAAAGTCCAAGTAGGCACGTAAAACAGAGAAAAATATTGGTAACGAATGAAACGAATTGGTACGTTTTCTCATTTGGAGCATGTGTATATGCAATGCAGGTCGCGTATTTCTTGCTGAGTTACGTCGCCCTGCCTATTGCCCTTGCCGCCTTCGTTTATTTATATTTTCTTGGTTCTGCAATTGCGCGTTTTTCTCGAGCTACTGACGCAGAGGCTGTGAACACGTACAGTTACATACGTTATTACGGTTGGGCCTCATTGGCAAAAAGTCCTTCGGGTAATACACTTTCCACGGCAGCACAAGTCAAGCCCAAGAGAGAAATTGAGTTGGCATTCCAACAAATAACATAAATACCTAGGTAAAAATGTTTGAATTTGTAAAGAATTCAATTTTTGTTATACTTTGGTAATGCCGTTTCGCAGTTATGATTCAATACGGAAAAATTTATTTACCGTACACGGAAATATATTCAACCCTCGTTTTAATGTTGGGAAGTGTGTACATGTTAATAATAAAGATGCTTTAAAAGGCTCTACGTTCGCTCTGTAATGTTTCCATTATCGTGCATTTCACGTGAATTGTGCACGCAGTTTAATCGTAATCGTACGTCGCGCCGTAAAAGCTTCATGCATTATTTATTTCACATTGCCCTTAAGATACGACGTATGCTTTTGCGCGATTTGGACTACACCATTTAACATATGAAAAGTGTTAGAATGAAAAATTTTGCAAACGTTTCGGGATTTTCACAATTATCTAATTAAAATGGTCCAATGTGGTGGAACGACGAATCATAAAGTGCGATCATCCAATGAAATATAATTGGATAAACATGAGACATTAAATATTTTTGTTTACAAAATTTCATTATTTGTTTTCGTTTCGTTAATTTTTTGGGGGAATTCTAATTAAATTGAATTGCTTGTGATAACAAAATATGACGAATGTATGGAGTATGACTCCTTAAATAAATACAAATCAAATTAGTAATACTGTAGATTATCGTGCTCCTCATTAACACAAACTGTTGCATGCCATTATTTCTGATGTAACATGCATTCATTGTAATTCAATTCAATTACAATCACACTTTTAATTCGAAATTGCAATACAATTACTGTAACATGCTATTGGCAGTAGTGCACACATTTGTAACATAATGATGATACAATCGGCAATCGCGGCTTCACCTATCTTTGCATCGTTTTGTAGACGTGCAGGACGATGTTGTCATTGCAGTATCCGCGCTCATCATGCGTATCCTCCGCGTGTCATGATGCCGAACAAAGCTGGCGATATATAAACCACCGCGCGGCTAGGAACGAATTTCACGGTTCAATTATTCGCGCGCGACATCGACATGACCGAACGATTATTCATATTGCTGGTGGACGGACGAAAACGAAATCAACCAACCGACCAACCTGCAAACCCAGCAGAATCTAGAATGAAATGTCGATTACCATTACAATCTGAATGACATGACTACAACACGCTGATTCAGCCGCAAAATGAGCCATCGACGAACGGGAAAAAATATTCCATTTCAGTAGTCTGGTCGAGTAGTGCGTTGTGCGTTGGCGTCACAATCATTCTTTATTTTGCGCTCGAATGTTTGATTGAAAACCACAAAAGTGCACAAAAAAACATTGGAATGTCAAGGAAAAAATATGTACTGGTCAAAACTTCCTCTGGTATTTATTGCTTGAGTTTGATTTGTAGAAAAATTGGAATTTTATTGAATGGAAACCTCTAATTACTTGTGTTGGGAATGTTGATGTGGCATTTTGATTAAATTTAGTGGGAATAGATTGAATGCTTTAAGGTTGGTGTTAATTGTGGTTTTGTATTGCAGTGAGCACGAAGAAAAAGTTCTGGAATCCTAGAAAATGGTTTAAGCGGAAAAGTAATAAGGTCGTCGAGGAAGCACCAAATTCCTTGACGGAAACGAACCAAACGCTGCGTAGCAGGTCTACCAGCGAGCTCTCCGTTGCAGAGGATCAAACGAGACGAAGGTAAATATTTCTTTGTTTGACGTACGAGTTCATACTCCATTCGGGCCCGAGTAAATATCAATACAAACATTAATATTCTATTGCCTATATGCCTTTATTTTGTTGTCTAAGCTATCAAGGAATTTACATTTTTACTCTTTCCATGACATTCAATATTGCCATACCTCTACAGTCTATTGACTCGTATTTTCCTGCCTAGTCGTGTCCTATATTTTTGAGCAGGATGTTATGTTTGAAACGGTTAAACTTTACCTAAAGTTCATAGTTAATTAGTTCGTTGGAATTTCGTCGCAGTAACAATGCGTGTGCCTGAGTATATGTACTCACTCGGTGGGTTTATGTGTTTATTTATAGGAGCGGGACGCCGATGCATCCCGGTTTGAGCGTATCGCATGACAGCGTCTTTCATTCGCCACATTCGGGCTCCGAGCTGGAGCTGGAGGCGGCCCAAAGCTCGTCATCTCTATCCATTAGCCATCAGCCCACACAACCAGATATTAGATTACAGGTGAGAAACTTTAATTGTATTCTTTAGCGCCGCAAGCTTCAAACTAAAGAATGAAATCGAAGTAGGTAAAAGTTGATTTGACACACATTTGAATACAATACGCTTCTAATATCATTCGAAAAGTCAAAACTTACAAACAAAAAGTGAAAAAGTGTGTAAACACATGAATACTGATGAGAGCTGTGATAAAAAATAATTTATTTTATGTCTTAATAATGCAATTTAATTGGTTTCTTTGAATTAATATTTAATGTAGTAAAACGTAAACACGATGGTGATCCAGAAATTAACTTTATGTTTGGATTTATTTATATAGTCATATCCTTGATGATTTGCGAAAAATAGAACAACTCCATATAAGTTATGTCCAACCCATTTCTATCGTGATTTAATCAAAACTTCAATGAAACTTTTTAGCCTGTAGAATCATGCGATTATGTCTTCGATGTCGAAACGTGTAAGAACAAGTGCATGACCTTGTACCCGTACTTGTACTTAAACCAAAGCAGCTCAAACTAAGTACGCACGTAATTATAGCAATTAAAATCACGAAATCTAAAATCTAAACACTTGCGCGTACACATGCCCCCTTTGAACAGGTTTTTAACATAAATTACTATACAATTTTACGTGTAGTAGTGAAAAATGGGCTACAACTTCCTACAATAAAACATTTTGTTGTATTTTCCACTTCATACTCAGTGAAATCAACATAATAAATCTTGATTTTCCTCTAATTTTATTCATGTTATTCGTTTTTCGTCACGACGATTTTCGTACAGCGAGTTCTAGCGTATGGTGATTTTATCAGGAAGTTTTCTGCGCGTTGGACTTTCGGGAAAATTGTGAGCTCCCTACGCACGGGCATATCATAATTTACATCGCCTACCAATCACAATTTATGTACTTTAGCTACATATAACGTGTGTTCTCTGAGTTGACTTCGCTCGGAATGTAAAACAGTGAAAATGTGCAAAGGCGACACTGTCGTCGACTCCAAAGTGAAAAAAAGACCGGAAACAAGGAAATCGTTCGTCTAGATCTTCCTACAATCATACATCATACGTCGTTTAAAGTAAAAAAGCGAAGTAAACTCTTTCCACGATGGAACGACAGATCCACGTTTTTCTTTCGCGTCTTGCATGTTGATAAAAATGCTTTCCTTAAAAAATCGCTCACGTTCGTCGCATGTGTGCTTTTCTTTTTAAGCTAGGCTACGGTATATGCGCGTAGGTGCACATGATTTTTTCAGACTGAACATTCTTGCCGTACGAGAACACACAAAACGTGCTCTTCATTTTTTCCGTTCGTGTGTTTTTCTTTGCTTACGTGTTTTTTCCTCGTTGAGTTGAGTTTTTCTTAACTTTTTTGCGTGCATAGTTTAACGTTCTTGTTCACTGTTCAGTGGGCCGACAGCGGCAAACACAAAAGTCACAATCGCGTCACAAACGCAGGTTGCAAGCAAAGAAGCGAATAGCAGGCGCAGTCGCTTATTGCAAGACGCGATACACAGGCGCCAAGGTAAACCAAGGTGAAATTTATGCTCGAGTACACCGACATTTTCGCGACTCTCAACCTTTTTGCAAAGCCAACAACAGTAAAACGAAGAAATTTAAATTTAAAAATTAACAGAAAAGCTTTGTGTTCTTGGGTTTGGCGTCGAGTTCATTCACTTAATTTCTTAATAATTTACAAGTTTCAGCAGAGGCGATGGATATGGGACGGATTCAGACCAACTCTTTTGATTATTTATCGCGAAATTTACAAAAACATACCTGGCGAGGTGAAAAGGTAGAAATCTATACATAGGTTTTTGTTGCTCTTTGTCGTCGATTTGGCTTTTTGGCTTTTTAGCTTTCGGCAAAGTTGGACAGAACTCAGGATTTACCGTTCGTGATTTCGTGACTGCCACTCGGCTCGAACGCGCATAATTCATGATTTTTTCTGGGTCGATCGCCGCTTGTTCTGGCAGTCCGGTCTAATGCTACAGAGCAACAATAAATGCTACACCGAAATATGCTATAACCAAAGATGGAAAAATGTTCGCCTGACTATGGTAGACGAATTAAGAGAAAAAGTTTTAAGAGGCGACGTCGCAATGCCGCCGTATTAGGAAGGTACAAGTTCAAGTTTGTCGAATTTCGATGGTGGAATGAACTTTTTCGAACAAATAGAAACAAAAATGATGTCAGGAAACGTTGCCGCAGGGTATAAACGAACAAAACATAAAATAAAATACAACTTTTTAGAACTTTGCTTATATAGATATATATTAAAAAATGTAATAAACTTTTACAGGCAAAAAATATTACATGAGCATCATGTGTTGTTTAATTTATAAAACTCTGCGCGTTCGCGATAATAAATTTGAAAACGTTTATCTCTTTAATAATCCCGCCGTTAACAATAAACTTAGGCCCAATGAAATTGAATTTTGTTCTTACGACATTGCGCATTACGCAACCACTTTATGGACATGTTGCATGAGTATTTCGTTTTGTGTGCTATCATATATGCATTTCACTGCCGCCTGCAATCACACTGGCATTCACATTCACATTGTGGTGGTGTGTGCATGCCACTAGGTACGTTCGGTACCGATGTAGACAGTTTGATGCATAATTGAATCGGCTTAAAATGGCAGGTAACTGAACTCGCCCGCGCACTACTCATACAAGTTGCCACTCTAGTGAACAATTGCGACTACCTATGTATGACCAATGTCCCTGTAGTAGTAGTGTCACAACCTGAATGCTGCACCACATGCAACCCAAACGTAAAACGAGAATATTGAGAACTTGGTGTGAACTGAAAGATGTGTTAGTGTTCATTTTCGTCCTGGTGTCAGTTGCAATGTGTGTATGAGTAATATTGATGTAGGTGAGCAAGAACAGTGAACCTGACTGGATCGAAGTATTATTACTGACGTTGAAATACAAAAAAGTAGAGTAAGTTGCCTACTGCAACTACTGCTACTCTGATGAAAATTCATAAAATAATTTTATTACCAACCAGAAATTGTGGCATTTTATCACATTTGTTATTAATATACATTGCAAGATAGCCTGCAATGTTTGTACAATTATGCAAATGTACAAAATTGTATTAATTTAATTATCAACGCAATATTTTTAAATGTTTCGGTAAAAATATCAATTATATACGTGACTCAATATTCTCAGGAACAATTGAAAGTGAATTGACACTTTCAAATGTTTATAAGCATTGAACTTTACTTTTATCTGCACTTACAAGTTTAAATGCCGCTTTATGAAATATACATACACAACAATATCTTATCATACTTCGAAAGAAAACGTAATGTACACATTATTATCGGAATATAACCGGGCGAAATGTGGTAAACTGGTGGTTAGCCAGTAGGCAAGTAAGCGCAGTTCTCACATGAAGCAACAAACCTCACTGTTACTTCCACTGCACTCACAATTCGCGCGATCATTTAAATTTTTGTCGTCTGATTAATAACGCATAAAAACCTGATCGCATTACGATTTACGCTGACACTCGGCAGTCTCGCAGTGTACGCGTTGTCGTTCGCACTCAAAGTATTTACATTTTCTACATTAAGTGCAACTGTAAATTGCAGTGATACTAAAGTTTACTTTTGGATTACACGTAGAACTAGTGAAAGTAAATCGTTAATATGTCTCGTTGGTGTTGTGGTTGCTTCTTACAAAGCAAAGATGAAGAGGATACAGACGAAAATATAAATATTTTAAGTTTTACTCCAGGTGAAATGAAAAGCGAAAAAGACGTAAGTTCATGTTATCGTTTTGTATGTATTGAGCACACGTTGTCTAACATTTTGAACATGACGCATCATTTCGGAGAATAATTCATGGTTAAATAATATGAATTCAAGTGTAGTGGTAATTATTGTTTTCTTTCTCTAGTACGCCTTGAATCGCAGTGTACAAGTGATTATTTCCGTTTTATTATATTTTATTACTATAAACGAATAGATTTTTATTTAGTTATTAGAGGATACGAAGTAATTTTTTTTCGAATTAATACGGCCAGCATTGGAAATGAGAAGCGTAAAAGAATACGTCATAACCGCGACGTTTTACTGATTTGTTTCCTACACCTACACGATTTCTCACTACTACTTCGATTTATATTTGTTGGAAGTATTAATCACCGTTAACGCGACTTTAACTTGATAACAATTTATTTACTTACGCATATTGAATGTTATAATTTCAGACTGAGCTAATCGAAAGACTGAGACAACGACGAGGGGACACCAGCGAAGATGACGAAGGATTACCACATAGTCCTTGCAATTCGCCCACAACGACAGAAGGGCATTTGGAGAAATCACACCACAAAGTAAGTTTTTTTTTTAAACTTTAATGGGACGATCAATGAGTCATATTTTCTATGAATAGTTGGTGGAACCAATCACTACTTTACACCTATTAATTAAGCATCATGTGCAAAATAAGTGATGAAAACAAACAGAAGTATTAATATAACACTGTGTCAACAATTACAACTATAAACCTTCGACAAGTTAAGCACAGAATATGTTATAACGTCTTACAGTTTTAACTGTAATTATACTTCTCATGAATAGAAAAATTTGCGCAACGCAGAGTATGAAATGCTTTTAATTATCTTCTCATTGATTATGCAATTCGGCTAACCTTAGAGGCGTAACTGTTTATAACACATTGGATAACTCGTTCGTTTCTTTTATTTCACTGCGTTATGCGTTTGCGTTATGTCCTTACTTCTTTGCTCTTTTATGTTTATGACCATCATCGTATTAAACATCCACATGCGCTTGCCGGCTCACGTCATGGCTGGCGAAGCTACACTATCGTATATATACTTACAGTTCGTTGCATATCGTTTAGCAATGATTCACTTCATCGACAAAAGCTGAATATGCGAATTTCCTCATGATGAGAAGCTATTACGACTGTTATTGGCGTGAGAGGTAGACATACATTTCGAATCCGTTTATTCGCGCTTTACCATGAAAAGGTAAATAAAGGTGAATTGTGAAGAGTAAGTTGTGGCAGAATTACTAGTTATAGTCAGATATGTGCATTAGTTGGATTTTCTTCGAAGTCTTCAATAAATGGATGGGATGGATATTTCTTTGTGTTCTCAGCTTCGTCCCAAGTTGTCTTGCGACCTAACAGGCTTGAAGTCAAGACTAAAAGCCTCAGTCTTCTTGACTCCATTGAGGGTTATATATGCTCTTACATTTTGTGTTGTCTTTATTTAGCGAAGAACGTGGATGGTACTCTATTAAAGAGTTGTAACTTTTGCAATAGTAAACCAATGATTCATTTTATTTCCTACTGATAAGGTGTTTCCAATAAATAAGTTTCCAAATAGTATTTTGATTTAAACATTTTGTTTGCGGTTTGTGACAACACACAGTATAATTTTAAACATGTTAAACTATATTGTCACGATCTTGGTGTTCGACTCACGCGAGAATTGCGACGCACACGAATAACTGTAACTTTACTGCTGGGTTTTATCGGTTTTTCTTCGTTTCATTTCGCGCTGCGTTTCGAAGTCATCTCGCTAGATGAACATGAAAGCATGAATTGACATGACAGCTGAAGACTGGACAATCAAGAACAAAGTCTATAAATATTTATTAGATACGAATTGATTGATGTAATGATAACTAGTTAATTTCCTTGAAATTTATAAATGCATTTGATTAAGTACCTATTGTTCTAAATTTCTATTTTCAATAATACTTAATGTTCAATTACTTATTACACTTAATTTAATCTGTTTGTGTTTTGCGATTACAAAATAATACATAAAATTTAATTAACGGTGTCATATTATAATTATTAAGTGAAAATGTTCTGCTTTTCCGAAACAATCGAAGTTTCAATTTAATTTCTCTTATAGTGCGCTGTTTTTTTTTTCTCGTGATATTGTTGTTTGTTGTAATTCGTTCTTTGTCCGTAATATATTCGTGCTTAACGCGTTTCAGCCAAAGATTCGCGTGCCATTTCCAACTAATGGCATAGCATGGCTCATGTCTGTTACACGATTCACTGATAGCTGCTGGCCCGACTCGCGGATAAATAAATGCGAACCTAAACTAAATCATCGCACACCTGACATTTTCGTTCTAGTTGTATAAATTTATCGAACATTTCCCGCATGGAAACTCGCGGCGTTTGCAGTGTTTCCTTTCTTCGACCTTCTTCGTTTGTTGTTGTATCGCTGTATCTAACATTATCCCGCTATTACATTATTAGCGCTTTTTCTCTCTCGTAAAAGTTGTTCAAACGTAGCCCGATCATGCTTTACGGAACAGAGTAAAGTTGTAACCCAATTAGGCATGCTGCCATAAAGTGTGACCAAGAAAAACATTTACATTGTATGTTGATAGCTGAAGAAAAGTAGAGGAGAAGAAAGGAAATGATTAAAATATTGATAAATGTTTGCTTATTAATGGGATCCAAAGTAGAGCGTAATAAATTTTTAGTCGGAGCATGAAAAAAGCGCAAACATTACGTTTAGACGTAAGTAATCCATCCAATCGAAACAATATCATTGGATTGGTGTTAAGTATCGGTGATAGGTGCTCACCTTTGATATTTCGAATGTGGGGCATCCCACATCGATGACGATAAGCATTATACGTCCTGCAATCCAGCTAATTAACTTAATGACGTTTTTTATGTAACAATTTCGAGCGCAGTTTTGCTTTCAGTGTATATTTATAGTTGGCATTTATGCCCTTTTAAATGTATCTTATATCTCATAAAATTATTACATTTTTTAAACGATTTCAAGGGATTTCGGCAAAATACCGTTCATTAAGCGTTAATACTAATTTAGTGCAGCTACAGAAATCGAGGACAAAAATAAATCATGAACTCGGTGTGGTAGGTATGTGTGACTCTTTACAAACAACATTGTGTAGTAATCTCATTTCCCCGATGCGATTTAATTACATTTTTACTAGCATTAAACCGATATAATTCACGTCGACTTTTACGGTCGGGGTCGCAGTGAGAAAACAGTCCAACAATGCACTTCGCTTCATTTAATTTTTTCGTGCTTCGTGCATGTAGAGAACTCTTTAGAATTGAGTCGTAAGCTCAACAGAGACACAAACTAAAGTTTAAGAAATTCATCCTACAATTAGGTTGATAAAATATTTTTTGGGTTCTGCACAGGTTTTATTCAACTAAGATTTCAATGTTGTGACTTATTCATAATTTATCCGCTGCTTCTTCAAATTAGAAATTTCTATACTAACTTGTCTTTTACAACAAAGAGCGTCTCCTCTGAGCTGTATTTTTCCTATAGTTGGTGTACGGCTGTGTCCTGGTTTGGATTAAAATTGCGAACTCGTAAAATGACGTTGATACGACGAAATACGGAAAGTGATTATGATCGCAGGTAATAAAAATAATTGTAACACCGCTGGCGCGCATCTGCACACCTGCATGCTGTCGGAGATTACTCAAAGCCTGGCGCTCAAGACAAAGGAATAGATAAGGTCGTGGAAGTTGTGCCACATTTTCCGGTCTTGAAATGTGCATGCGCACATCTCACACGAGATGTGAATAAAACAAAAAACAAACATGAAAGTCCTTGCGTAATAATTATGATGTGTTTACAGGGTGCATACTATTCTGTCGGTGTTCGTATTTCTCTATATTTCTCGAAATTCTCTTCGTCCTGTATAGGAAATATACTGTAACGTGGTACGTTTTGGCACACATGAAATCATTGTTTTTCCGCGTTTGCACACCGCGCGCAAGCTTCTATTCGCTATTATTCACTCGTATACTGTATGAATAATATACCCATTGACAAAATGTGAAAGTTATTGTTGCTCTAAACAATTTCTCATACACACACATTTGCGCTATGAGTCAGTTTGCAAATCCATAATGTACATTTTTATAGCGTTATTTTTTCATTTGGATGTAGATCGGATAGGTATGTGTTTGTTTGGCTGTGTAGTTGGAACGTTCAGTGCCATTGTTGATTGTTGACTGGTGGTGATGAAGAAAATGATTGTCGTGCTACCATGTGCGCCTGTACCATTTAGTATTCAGTACATTGAGTACGTCGAGTCTGCACCGAGAGGCGACCGCCTCACCGTTATTATTATTGTCAGTCGTTGGCGATGCATTGAGTCGCGATGTACGAATACGCTCAGCACGAGTACGAATATTTCGCGTCTTATCTGTGCTTAACTAATATTAAAATTGTGTTGCCATTAGAAGAAAAGGTTCAACTCAGATTTAATTTATTTCTTTATTATTATTATTTCACCTAATAATTATTTAATTTTTGTTTTCAGGACTTACCAACAAAATCGCACAGCACATGTAGTGATGGTTCTTTGCTCAGTATGGGAAGTTCGGAAATGGATGAAGTAAATTTCTTCTATACTTCCTATTAAAAATTTATCTAATTGTAATTTGTTGTAGGATTCATTTGATCCACCTACACAGTCACGCCATGCATCGAAATTATCTTTACAAGAAAAGAACAAAGACGTACCAGGTAATTTTGTCAAGGGTTTTCAGAGTTTAGAAGATTCTATATGATTCTAACATTTTTTAGATGCGGATATTACAGAATGGGGTCCAATGAATTCGTCATTTCCATTAAATCATGCAGCAGCCCATCACAAAGTTTCAATACGCCCGAAGCGCACGCACGGTGGGCCACGCCGGAAGCGCACTCCGGTTGTTCTCCCAACCACACCGGAAGTCAACGAGGATTCCTCGATTCGAAGTATGACGCCTGATGGAACAAGAGGTTTTTATCTTTTTTGGCGTTTCTGCTTTTTTGTTTGTTTTAGCATTATCATGCTTTCATATATTTGAAATGCGTTAATAACAAATCATTTACACGCTTTAACAACATGCTTGTACATGTCGCTCACCACATGTATGTGTTACAATTTGCAGAAACATTAACCGAGCTTTACACAAGCATGAGCTACCAGCAAGCGAGTCATCAACAAAGTCACGCTTTTATCGATAACAAAATGAAATGCTCATCATTACCGCCTGGTTTAGCAGGGCCTGGAATGATCGACAGCAAGTTGACTCGCAGTCGCTCCAATGCGGGTACTCAACAAGGGGAGTCTTTCGCTGAGGAGGAAGAGTACAGCGATCAAAAGAGCAAGGAATCTTCTTTCTTTGGACGCTTCTTTCCTCGACGCAGTGGAAAGAAGAAGAAGATGAAAGAGGAACAAGAATTTATGCCGCCGGCTAAGCCTGAGGTACTCAACACACCAACAAGTACGCCCGCAAATTACTACAAGGTTAATGTAACGGAATCCACCACGGTTACATATGATCCTTTCGATCAAAATGTTATCACGGTCGATAGCAATCTTGCAATTCGACCAAATGCTCTTCGTTCAGGACCAGCGTCTCGCCAACGAATATTGCCAATCGACATACCTAGTACACCCGAATTTCATCAACGACGGGACCGCAACGAAGAGTTGAACAATTCACCTTTGATGGATGATATGGAGTGGTACCAGAAACACTCTAGTATGAGTACGAACATGAGCATGAGTATGAATACTAGTATCACCGAAGCTTCCTCCCCCGTAAAAAGTTCACCACCAAAAAGTCCACTTATGTTTTCTATGAGTCCACCAAAATCGCCGTGGAGTGAGAAGCGAACCCCGAAGAAACCAAGCAAATTTGTGGAACACACCACCACGACTTCTACGACAGAAAGTAAATCGATTGTGCGAATTGCTGGATTGTCTCCATTACAACAACGTGTCATTTCTTTGAACGACGACACTGATACGGGCTTTAAATCTTTGACGAATTTTCCATCAGACTTTGAGGAAAAGCCTATCAAACCTGTTACAAAATCGCATAGCTTCAAATCGACATCGAATGTAAAGCCCAGCGTTACTGATTTGAAAAATAGTGGTTTCAAATCATTGGAAGAAAAGAGTATTTTCAAGTCTTTATCATTAGACAGCGTAAAAAATGTTGACGATGTTCTTGGTGACGAAGGCGATACATTGATTAATCGTGATATGGAACACGTACAACAGTATAATGAAAATTTGTTGCAGACGAAACAATCGTCAGAAAATAGGAACGATATAACAATTACTGGGCCTAGTCATAAAGCTATTGTTAACATTCCTGCTAATGAGTTATTATCACAATTAGATAGTGAGAAAGTTGTGACAACTAAGGAAATGTCTGTTACTAAGGTACAACTTAACAGAGAAACTTCTGCTACTTCACAAGTATCAACCGTTGTGATGAAATCTGAATATAATATGACTCCAAATAGACTTTCAAACTCACACAAAATTAATAGGCAGAGTATTGATCTCGATTTAAATCTAGAACCTGTCGTAGCTGTACGAAAGTTCAGCAATGATAACATTGAAGTTATTAAAAAGGAAGATATAATTGAGAAGGTTGAGAAGAAAGATGAAAAGGAAGTTGTAGCTACTCCCACGAAAACAAATTCGATAGTCACTGTGACATCGATGACGAACGCTAGTCATTATCGGAAGAACGAAAGCATCAAAAGAGATTCTAAGCCGATTATTCGAACAAAATCAAACAGTTTTGATTCTGTTGAGTCGAGGTCCTCAACACCGAAGTCATCTCAATCGAGTTTAGATAAACTTGATATGATTTCAAACTCGAAGTCACAGGAAAATATCAAAAGCGCATCAGACAGTGTTGTGCGTCGACGCTCGCTCGTAAAGCAGAAACACGACGAAGAACCCGAACTTATGAAAGTTTTCGCTCGGCGATCATTAAAGTTGAAAGATAGCGATTGCGAGGCGCTACAACAGCAAGTGGCTAAACATATAGAAAATTCGGAGAAATCGTCTGCGGAGAGTGTGGAAAACGGGAAATCGCGAGATAGTGACAAAGAAAATTTGTCCGATTCTTCGCCTGTTGAAGAACGCAAGAAACCAACAATTGCGCCTAAATCTACTGCTCTATTAGAAAGTAAAATGAAAATTGATGGATTGGATGTAAAACTGCGTAAACCGATAGGCAATAAAATTGCTGCGTTCCAAAATCGGCCTGTTACTACGACTCCAATGAGCAAACCTTCGACGGTTCTGAAACCTAATGCTTTACCAACTCGGCCTAAGACTGAAAAGTTTCAGATTATCACACCAACGATAACCATGGAGGAGAAAAAGGATATTGAAGTAAATAACTCGAATATGATTAATACAGCCGAAATTATTAGTAACATCTCGGAGAAAACTGATTTGATCCAAGATTCTGGTAATGTGGAAGTTAAAAACTTTCGTTTACGAAAAGCGGAATGGGAAAAACGTGCACAAGAGAGCATAAGGAAAACAACACCTTAATTTTGCTAGTTGGCTAATATATAAACTGCATGAATACCAAGTATTTGGACGGATCCAGCTAAAGCTGTTTCATAAAAAGTTCTTTGATTAAGTCTATATAGCATTTCAACATTTTGAAGACAACTTCTTCAAATTTAATTGATAGTTGTTTACATTTTGAACATCATAAAATGTGGATGGTAGTTAGAATCTATTTTGGTACAACTACATACAATAATCATTCAGTATTTTCTCAAATTTTATTGCTGGCCCTTGATAAAGCCAGAAATGTGTGAAATTAGAACAAATATGTATAGTTAGCATTGTAGTTTAGTTACACTTGCGTGTTTAAACAGGAATTCCATTTATTGAATTGCATTTCTCTTCTTGATGAGTCTGGATTGGATTTGTATATATCTACGTGACGCAACATCACCTCACAATGCTGAATGAGTGGTAATTTATCTTTTATTCTATGACTTGTAATTTTATATAATTAATTGTAAATGCCACTTTATTATAGGCTTTATCCTGTAACAATTTATATCAAGCAGTGCTAAGTTCAGAGTTTTGTATCTTATATTAGTATGGCGATCGGAATGATTTCGGACTAATTTTAACTAATAAGTTATATACAAGCTTGATGGAATTTGTATATTGGTCTCAGAGTTGTTCATTTTGCCATCAATTGCAACTGTCGTGCATTTATTGGCATTTAGCTCTTGGTGCCATTGTATACATTATACAGTAACACCCCGATACCCAATCTCTCAACGTAAATCTACGTTTACGTTTTGATTTTAATTGTTAAGATGTGTATTTATTCGTATTATGTAAGTGCCTTTTTTACTTTGTACGAAATGAATGAGAAAGCACGTGATTTGTGATTCAGCACAGTTCGAACATTGGAGTGATTGTTGTCGCCTTTTGAAAGACGTGCTCTTGGAGATTCTAAATAATAGAAATGTTAAGTAGGATATGATGAAAGTGATTAATCGTTGATATGGAATAGTGGAACAATCGTATGAAATGTGGTTCGTTAATCAGTATCAAGTTTCATGCAATCATGAAGAGATTTTAATTATTGATGAGAATTATTTACGATTATGTATACAGATAGCGATATACGCAATATGCATGTATAAAATCATATTTATGTTGTCTATAAATATAAATATATTTAAGTTACTACGAAAGTGGGGCCGTACTTCTTTATTATCGAAAAGATTACATTGGTAAGGGATATTTTTGTTCATGAAGTCATGTAAAGTTTTTGGAGCATTTTCAGAACATTTTAGGAGCAAGATAATAAATTATGAATAAAATTCCCTCTACGAGGCCTCACGGGCGCATGAACATTTAAACGAAGAATTCCCGTTTTATATTAATGGTATGATGTTAACTTTTTGAATTTATTTGATTTTATTTGATTAATCTTAATTTCATTTTATGTACTGAAGTGTCGTACAGGATTCGATAAATTCTATTACTTAGAGAGTTCATTGTTAAACAGTTTACTAGAGGGCGACAACTGATCATGTCTAAAGAATAAACTTGTGGTTGGGACCCGCAAGGTGGCACAACGCTGTCGTATTGAAATATAAACATAAACTAGTTTGAGATAAGAATATCTAACTCTTATCAAGTTACCTTTTCGTCTGCGTTGGATTGTACACAACTTTAGTCCAGTAAGAAATTCAGTGTAAGAATGTTGTATTTTTCTGTGCAGCGTTGTAAACAGGTAAGATTTTTATCGAATATCTAATTTTTTAAATTAATTTATGTTTGAGGTTAATATACGCTTAAATAATAATTTCATTTCAGTATTCATTAATGAGATTTTTATTTGCTTATGAAAAATTTTGTTTATAGCGGCATTTAACAATAATCCTACCATAAAGTTAGCTCTGGCTTTAGCGTCGGTGACTGCGACGGCGCGTGGCCGCCGCCGGCCGGCGGCAAAACTTGAATATTAGCGTGGTCGTCACAATGCGCGTCTTCAGTAGATAGCGGACGCCGGGCTTGCCAGCACGCGTCAGCTACGCGTCGCGTCTAATAATATTTTGATCGCGAGCACGTCGCCCGTGCGAAACTTCGTCGCAATCGACAATTATTCACATTGTTTACGCGGATAAATATCTATATTTGTAGAAGTAGTAAAACTAAACAGACGACGGGTATTTTTAAATAGGGAAGTAATAAATGTTACTTCGTCTACTCATTGAAGATTTGTGAGACTGTAAACTATACATACTATCGTTCAACAAATATTACTTCAGAGACATTTTAAATTATTGTAAGCAAATGCTCACACAACGAGTAATTCTTCATGCAATTAGGTGAGCTACAATTTTTTGTATCTATATTATTAAAATATGTAGACATAAACCTTAATTTTAATTTGTTTTTCTAAAATTTTAAACTAATTTGATTTTATGCTGAGTGCTCAAGAATTTGCCCTGCACATTATAATTAGTGAAAGGTATAATTATTGAATGTCGCTGAAAATCCAACACACTGACAATGCAAATCTATATTTATCTGCCGCCTCAATTATAGGGCGATTATTTTTAGTTAGCGCTTCTCGTTTTCGTGTCGCACTGTGTACCTACGAGGACGCTGGTGTTCGATGAAAACACGTAGGACACGCGATGTATCACTGAGGCTCAGCAGTATATTACACATAGTTGTATAAACAATTTGTTATAGTTGGGAGCGTGTTACGTTTATCTTAATTTGTTTATTTAAGTAGTAACATAAAACAGAGGTGACGAATGTATTAGTTTTCTTGATTTTAACAACTACTATAGTTATTACTTCTCAGAAAATCAATAAGGCAATGTTTAATTTAACTAATAATGTTTAACTTTTAAAAAATGCACATGAGGCAAAACGATAACCCGGTTTCAATGTGTAAATTCTTATTTTTTTTTTGTTGCAAATAGTTTTTGAGTGATCAATTAATAACCAAAACTTTAGAACTAGATCATTCTCACACTATGAAAAAACCTTGCAACTATATTAGATACTTTTTACAACTTACTATAAACTTTCCCAACGACCGTTAATAGTTTTTGTTTAAATTTTAAGAAGAATGCAATTTGTTTGTGCAAGCATTATAATAATATTTAATTTTGCTGTATTATACATCAAATTAACTGAAAGCTATTAAAATCGGCAAATGTAGGATTAGGCGTTGGGTTCGCCTGAAAATAAACTTGTTATTGCCGCGTTTCAAAACTTTGTATTTTTCAAGCATGCCAATTGCCATGTTACTTCATAATTTTATGCATTTTCCGGGACGCAAACGACGCGCTTTTCTCACGCGAACGAAAACCGCAAATTGCGTTTGCACAATTTGGAACAATCACAAGCGTTTTTTATCGTGTTCGTAAAACTCAATATATGTAATTGTTTGTTCGTGGAAAGCGTACGAACGCAAAGCGGGCAAAAATATATCGAACACAGTATCTTTTGTCATGCAAAATGGGCGCAAAAGTTCTGTTTGCCATCGATAAACTGAGTTTGAAATTTGTGTTTCAGATTATAGATTAGCATCGGAAAAAGTTATAATTTTTGACATTTAATTGACGTTTGGAGTACGATCTTATAAACTTTTTTAACTGATATCTAAATTTCATGTTTGAATAGCGCATTTTTTTTCATGTAATTAGCTAATGTGTGCGCAATTAAAAATTATTCATTAAAATCTTTTTAGGAACATAATTTACATTTTTATCTAAAGACTGAATTTTATTATCAATTAGTAGCAAATTATGTTATTCTGGCGCGCTCTAAAAAATGTTATTTAGCGCAATATTAATTGAGTTCTGATTGTCTTTACTAAATTTTGTGTAGGCATCTATATTTTTGGGCATCAAAATAACTTCCAGACATTTCACTTATTTTCTTCCGTTTCTTTTCCTTCCGTTGCCACTCTCGTGCTTTCAATGACAACAATAGCAAATCAACGAAAAAAGAAAGAATCGCGAAATGTTTTGATGGGCGCTAAGAGCGCACAACCATTCGCAGGGCTACAAAACACACGTCCCACGAACGACTTAGAAAGCGTCGAGCAAATCATAAAAAATCGTCGGAACATATGAAAACGACAAGGTCCCTTCGGATTACAGAACAGTCTCTGGCGCTATGCATTCGCTTCAATTCCCGCAATAGGTGCCCTTAATAAAAAAGGATAATGGTTCATTTTTATGGTGGGTCCAAGCCCGATCTCAGTCCGAACAATTTTTTGTATATCTTTCCCTAGTGGCCGGCCACGCTTGAATAGTCTAAGTTAACTACTGTAACACGCAAAGGAAACGTAAAAGAGGCAGGCTATAGTACCGGTAAGTTTCTAAACGATGAAATATTAAAAGGCCTTTCAGTATCTGCCGCGTTCAATGTAGGCGGCACAGATCCCGATGATGATACAGACATTGCAGATAATATCAAACGCAATATGATATAGGTACTATGAGGAATGATGATCACTGCGGATGTTTTCACGAGGAAAATGGAAATAACGATCATTTCCGTTTCGTTCCTCTCATTTTGCATAACTAAACCAACTCCCACGGGCACTTGTATGTTATACGACTATTTTATTGTCGGTTTATTTTGCACGTTAGAAGTTAACATTTTGAAGCGTTGGTATATACGTGAACTTGACGCATTTTTGCTGAAGTCGGCACTTATCTTGCAAATATGTCAATATTGCGGGGATAGGACGTGTCGCCAGCGAAAAGTGCTTCCGCGATGTACGCGGAATTGTTATGCACATTTTTACACATGTGAGAGATATGTATCGAATGGGTAGGCGAATATTGGAAAATGCAGAATTTGGTAAAACTCGTTCACGAAAGAGCTGAAGCGAAAGAAGTCGAGTTAAAAGTAAATATGTTTATGGCCGGATGCTGTTTCGAAGGTTTTTATAGGTCGGCCCAAAAATACAGAATATGGAAAACTAGTTTCGGCCTTTTTACAGTTTACTACTAGAGAATTTCAATTCCTGGCGCGTTTAGGAGGTTCTTCTTCTTTGGCTAGATCTATAGGGCCTATTGGGACCTGGTTTCGCTAAGTCTTTTCTAAATTTGACTTTTTCTTTTACTTCTTTTCGTCAGTTTTCTTATTCAAATAACGAGTTTCTTTAAGCACGCTTCGAGTAATTAACGGATTCTAATGATTTAGAATGAATGTGTCCCCAGCTGCGCCACAAAACTTTTTCCGCGATTCGTGATCCGGCAAAAAATCGTATAATTAATGCGGGTCAGCACGGTCTGAAACAGAAATCGTGATTAAATCGCGTGGGGCAAAATTGTTGTTTGCATGCACATCCATGGAAATCCGCGCGGATTTGCAAGCAAAGCGTGCGAGACTTACCCGTTTGCTTTGTTGAGTTTCGGGTCAGCAGAAAACCTCCATCCAGCGTTCCAACGCTTCGAAACACAAGAATACATTCAACCCAAGTTACATTTACGAAAGTTTACGATTTAGACGACAAAAACATGCAATTTTACAGCCAAACGTAATCTGAAACTTGGCATACGTTTGATCATTGATGAGGGTTGAATAAATCAGAAAAGATACCGAATTTGGAAGGCGGTATAGTTAATGAATTTCAAAGATTGTCTGAGGGCACAAATGGAAGCATTTAATCTTTATTCCGGGGTTCATCCTCAGGCCCTAAACTTGTTTACGTGTTTACGAGTTAGATTTACATTTTGCATTTACGATTCGCAACATTACCCAGAATTCACACGCGTTGTTGGATGTTGTCGAATGGGATCAAATCAAGCTGAGGAGGGGACACAATGCAGCCAGACAAGCGTTTAGTAATCGTAAAATAAATAAAACAACGGAATAATTTAAAGCGCCAATAGGCATTGGTTGTACTCGTAAAGCCGAATTATTTCGTAAAGTGTTTTAAGCTCGAAATGCAGGAATGAATCATATAAAGAATTGAATTAATCTTTTCTGTTGCAGAAAGACATAAAATATAATTGAAAAATGTTTTCGTAAATGTGTAAAGGAAGAGAAATAATTAATATTTGTATAGCACGTGAAATTCAAAAGTAAAATTCATCAAAATCTTATGCCACTCAAAAATGTGTAGGTATACGAATATAATTTATATTAACAAATATTTACTTTGATTATTTAGTACTGATTAGGCGTATAGTAATTTTTTGAGAGCGTTTTCTGAAAATTTAAGCTTTCAATTTTGGTAATTGGTCCGCAGGGGGCTATTGTTCATAAATATAGATCTTTGTGAGACTATGCACGTATTCGGGCGTATTAATTTAAGGACCTTGAACTAATTTAATGAAGTGAGAAATCAACGGTGGAACAAAAACGCTCTGACGAATACCGATAATCATTTTTGAACAAGCCCAACAATTTGCTAACTTTTCTGCTAGAAACCGATATCAGCATTGACGTCGAGAGAAAGTTTGAGATTATGCATTGTGAGATAATGAGTGTTGAACTTTGGTTTATAAATTGGTCTTAAAAATATGTTAAAGTTGGAAAATAGCTTTTTAAACTTTATACTAATATACATTTTCTTTTCAGAAAATACTAAATGATGTGAGTATGGGTTGCGCGTCTTCGAAAGCATGCAGGACACTGCGTTGTACTAAAGTGAGCTACGAGGATGACTCAGTGTCTTCGTGCACGTCATCGTCCTGCACGTCCCAGGTGCGCAACCATCGCCACGGGGCGCGCGATGGTAAAACGCCGTGTACGTGCACGCCCTTCCTGGCGAGCATCTTCCCAACCAATTTTATTCGCATGCTCATGAAAACGCCGGATGTGAGCATGTCAAAATTGGAAATCAGTAAGTACTTATCTTTACTTTATATTTATGTACTCGTATTAATAACTTCATAGAATCACGTTTTACTATACCTCTGGTTTGAAATTGATGCGGTATCTGTTTAATCAGGCAAATTACCAATTATTTAATTAAATTTAAATTGAATAGAAACTTGCAATAGCTATTTAATTGACAACGCCCAATCACGTAGCGCAGGCATCGCAAACGTGCATAGATTGTTACATCCAGGATAATGATTTGGAGGCGTTGACGCGAAGGACGACATTCTAATCTCGCATTAAGTCATGTGGTTTCCTATTAATTCCATCATTTAATAATGAAGGTGCTAATCTAATGAATTGATCGCGGAACGGATTATATTTTTAACTGGGCATTTATTCATTGGGGTCCACATACCAGCATTCTACATTGCTCGTTTCCAAATACAGAATTTAATTAAAATTAATTTTGGGGTTTCTGCATCATAAATTATACAGTAATAATTAATTCTTGGCTTTGGCATGCAGTGGTTTCATTTTGTACGTTTTTTAAATGAAATTTTATTCGCAGTTTATTAATTAAAAGGAGAGAAAAATTATAATGTCCTCTGACCATATTTTACGACCCGAGTTTTTTTTTTTATTACTGGCATTGTTCTTTTTTTGCTTCTATCTATTTTAATTCGTCCTCGTTGTAGTCCCGACACAATCATGCTACATGTTGGCAAAATGGCACATTTTCTATTTGTTTTTTGTAATTGCCAATGTCTCTTTTGCTTTGAAACACTTTTTTGTGATGGTTTTCGAGTTTTATTTAACTTCACATTTTCTCTCTGGTCCCAGTTTTTTTTTACTTTGATTCCACATTTATCTGATTTGCCGTGTAAACATTTTAAAAATTTGCTAAATTTACAGATTTTTAAATCAATTTGATGTTGTTTAGCATATCAAATAAATGTTTTTGTTTTTGGGCGTACATTGTTCTAGAAATAGGATGCAGAGCAAACGCTTGTGAAATTTGCAAATTGAAAATGTTGTAGGCGCGAAAAGTGAGAACGAAAACGATGCGCTGCGTGCAAACGCAAATATTGTGTTTGCCAGGAGATCGCAAATTATACGAAACTTCCGAATTGATTTAATTAAGAAATTTGCATGAAGAAGCCATTCATTGAAGGCGAGTGTGTAGCGGGCTTACAAATCGAATCGTTTTAGCTTCACTTTTGGCGCCATCATTTAACATTTATATCGGATGCAAAAGCAAAGTTTGACTTTTCACATTTTCATTCTGGAGAGCGTTGAATTGAAAACGAACTCAGTGTCCGCGTAAGTGGGACACAATCACCCGATCGATTTCTGTTTAAATTTGAACGCATATTTTTGTTTGAAAAATGTAACGTTTAAACATCATTAATGCGGGAATATTGAATAATTCATAACCATATTCAAAACACGACTAATATACAAACAATTATCTGTTATGTTTGTTGTAATGAATAGTTAAATAGGTAAAAGGGTTGTTATTGAAAAAAATTACAAGTATTGTAGGAAAAGGTCAGCGTATTTATCAAAGAATCTGATATCATTCTGAACAAAATTATTTCATGTTCGATTGATTCGTTTGAAGTCATAGGGTATTTCTTGGTAATTGTACGCATTATAATCATCGATTTAATTTCTGTACTAACGCCTCGAATAATTGTAACACATTGGCTTATTACGTCTACTAATGTTTTCTCCCATATTAGTGGTTTATGAGACGCCAAGTTGCCTCCTGTTCGTTCAGGAGGTTCATTCTCGACATCGATTTCTCATTTTTCTATTCTATTACGGCGGTCAGTCGAACGCGAATGGCGAGCGTAATCGACAAATCGACGCTGTACACGAACCACGACCACCAACGAGCTCAGCAGCAGCAGCTCTCGTAAAAACCTTCCACAATCCATGCTTTTTCATTTTTCTTTATTGCGGGCTTATGTCATTTGATTTTGATGGCAAATTTATTTTATTGGCTTTAAACGATTTATTTTATTTTATTCATGAAATAAATTTCCCCCATTTGGCGATATTTGGCACAAACAATATGTAAATATATATTTTAATTCTGAGAAAATAAGACCTTGGGAACACGATGTGCACATCACCGTGCTTTTCGACACTTCCCGAAATTCCCACAGTGGAATATTGCCGCGCTGTAATATCGATGTTGAAATGGATGCCACGTGTAAATGGAAACTCGCGCAGTCGGGCGGGCGGACTGGGAACCGAATACCTGAATATCTCAGCTTCAGCCCAATTGCGGTAGCAACTCAACCTGTCGATTGAAATCAATAAACTTATCAATTATTAAGATAAGCGTTGGTTGGGAATGCAGCGAAAGAAGTAGACTTCAAATGGTGAGGTGTTGTTACATAACATTCCCACTTTCTACTAAAATACATAGTCATCAAGCTTGAATAGAGTATAGTAGGACCCATGTTAATATATAAATATTTGATTGCAATTAGATCCGACACTACAAAAGTTTGTTAGCAATTTGCAATATGTACTAGGTATCGAATAAACTTCGAGGTATACAATAACTAAATAAATCATTATGAGTGGGCGCATATTGAACAATAGTGGTAACTTACGCACCGAAAATAGGGTAAAATTTTCCTACAATTAAGTTTTGGTTTTGCGGTGGTCAATAATTTAAGCTGTGAAAATTAATATTAGTAAAGTTAGATTATATGTATTTTCAATAAATTAAAAAAATCTTCATAACGATCGTATTCCATTCGGTCTAAAAGCAATCATTTCAAGTGCATTATAACAATTGCACTAGTCTAAACAAACACACAATAAAACGATCACTTTTTTTTATTGCACTTGCAAACGCCTGCAACCTGTGTGTTGAACTTGCACTAATGTGTATGTACAGGCATACCAATCATACTTAGGTAGGGTCATGCAATTCAACCTTTTAAATACCGCACAGCCACAATGGTCGCATTGGTCACGCGCTGCTACAGAGCGAACCTCTGAACCACTCCAACTAATGACAAACGACATAGCGGACATAGCAATGCAGTATTACATTGCCTCTCTGTCATCCCAGGAAACTGCCAGTGTCGAAGCACTGGGAACCAACCGACAACTGTTCCGATGCCTACGGGTATCTTGCGGTTAAGTCATTGAATCTCTGCGATAGGACTAGGATCTACTATCAGTTCAAACTCCATACAGTATCCAAATCGAATGGAATTTGATCTGAAGTTTAACGCCAGCGGCATTAGACCCGCTTATTAAATACTATTGAGGGGTTGGAATTTGATTTTTTTCTTCGATTTTTATGTAAATCGAATAGGTCTTGACTTAAATCTTTGATAGATATACTCTTGATGGCCAGTTTGTGAGTTTCCGATTGGATATTGAGAGGAGTAAAATGAGTTCAAGTATTTGCACATAAAGTTTTCATTCGAGCGAAGAAAAGCCTCAAATCCCTGGACAAGGAACTCAAACTCTTACAAGTCCGATACTCGCCATGCTTCGGAAAATTTTATAGTTGACTGCACTGGACTATCTTAGACTTGGCCGGATTTACGATGGACGGTAGTGTAATCAAATAAAGACGGTGCTTCCTACGTCTTCGGTTGAACTTGTTTCTTGTGCACGTCGGTTTTCCGCCAGCATACATCAGATTCGCATCTTGTACCGCCCGTGATGGAAATGATCCTAAATTGAATCAAACGCCATTATTCACGTGCTATTTGCTCTCATGCTGACCGTAAATATCACATTAGGAGAGGTATGGAAGAGGGTAGAAACGCTCATTTATATAAAACTACTCATCAGTAAAATGTCAAATCAATGGACATCGAATTTACATGATTGAGTGCATTCTAAATAAATTAAGCAAATTATAGTTAAAACAAGTTGAAGAAGCTTGCAGAATTTTAATGAGCATTTTACGTATCGATTTCTATTAACCTGTTTTCCAACAACAGATTTTGTTATTGTGTAGAATTTTGTAAAGGTCACGAAAATATATTTTCGAGATAAAAAAAGCAACGAAAGAATCAAGCTTATTTAGAGGTTTATCACGTATGATTTTGTTTCTACTGTCAACTCGAAGGTTTTCCTACATTTCACCTTTGGTTAGTTCTTGTTCTCATTTATCTACATCCATCTGTTGTGCTCTTCATGTTTATTCCACTTCTCTAGAACGCGCTTTTCCTATGAAGTGTCAGGATAGAGCAGGCACGCTACACTCCTCACATAATCTTTTGTTCTTTTGTTCGTCACCGAGCAGTATTACAATACCCACGCGCGTGCCACATTTGCCACATTCGTGTTTTGTTTGTTCGTTAGGTTTGTTCTCGTGTTTGCAAACAAAAATAAGCTCACCAGCATGCAATATTTAAGACACGACAAAAACCTTGAAATTTGAATTGTGAAACAATTTTCGACAACATGATTGATTTGCGTATGTAGTTTGTGCTTCAAGCGGGTCTAATGTTCCAAAACAAAATTTTATTACAGCTATGAAAGCGGCGCTGCTCATCCAACGTTGGTATCGACGTTACCTGGCACGTATCGAGGTGCGACGTCGTTACACGTGGACCATCTTCCAAAGCATCGAGTACGCTGGCGAACAGGACCAAGTCAAAGTAAGTTTTCGAAAACACTTTACAATTTCGTACTACTATTTGTATAATGAATGAAGTGAACTAAATTAGTATAGTTTTGGGACTCTTAAATGTAATTTGTTTCTCATTTGAACTACATCGTAACAATAATGTCATTAACATTAACGCGGCTTTGCACGTGTCGCGAAGTCATTAAAAACAACTAAAACGGGAGCAGATGGAAATCCGCAACGGTCGCATTTTGGTGCAATTTGGTCGATACGGGGTTTCCCAAATATTCCGAAACTCTGAACCTTATTTTCAGCAAGCATCCTTTTCAAAGTGAAAGCAATAAAGTCTTTTGCAGTAATAAATAAAACGTCCCAAAGTAGAGAAAACGTTTACCTTCAAAGGAATGCATGTTTGGTTTTATTCCGACTTTAAAAGAAATACTTAGAAAATAATTAGGAATAAGGAAAAAATGTTTATGAAATATTTTATTTCTTTGCAGTTTTACAAGTGTAGAAAAAAAGCAGGATAAATTTTACATAAAGTTTCATTTCAACATGAGTAAGTAGATAAGTTGTCAAAGAAAGTTAAATCAACGCAATCATCTGTTCCGTTTAGATTTATTGCAGAAAATATGACATTTTCAGGCAAATGTATATAGAAAACTTTGACATTTTTTAGATATTAGAATTTCAAGAGATTTCTATAAAACAAAAGTGTTTATAGTACAATTTATGCTTTTACAGGTTTACTGCAGGATTTATTGCACATTTTGCGTTCGAAATTGGAAATATTTTGTTTTCAATTACAACAGTAATTACAATTCTGCTGCAGCTTACTCATTAGAAAATGTAATAGGTTTTCTGCAGCTGCCAGCAGAGTACTCAGAGTAATTTGGGCAATGCTTTATAATAAATGCACCTTGGCTTGACATTGCAATGCACGCAGACGCGACGCGACGATCTTGCACTTGGCATTACATATTCAAATGATTTGGAGAGGGCGCGTGCAGACGAATAAAATCTTTATGCAAATGCACAAATCCGTCACTAACAACTAGTTTAATGTAAACGTAGTAATCACACGGATTTATTATAGAAGATAATCATCAGATTCTTGTCATACCGCGTTATCCTGAAAGATATATTACGTTTTTATGCTTAAATGTGTAGCAAGATATAATTTTATGTTTAAATATTGAATATTCATTTTTTCTGGATTTGTCTAATGAATCGGTCTTGGCATGGCGTAAAATATAGGAAGCGATTCCATATTCGACGTGAAAGTTTATGAGGCAGAAAAGAAACGTAATACTTTGCAATGTTTCACAATCGTGCGAAACCTAATGCAAAGTGGGAAACGACACACGTCGTTGGTTGGTTAAACGTAACGCAAAGTTTTGCTAAAGAATCGAAGCCATAAATCATCCGCCTTACGTGGCGATATAATCAAAAAATATACCATGTGTTCCGCAGGACTAGTAATAAAATAAGGGATTACGTCGCTATTGAAACCAAACAATTACACATTTCAAAGGCTTCATATCTGAGCTTTACATTTAATTTATTCTCACATTCATAAACCTTTCCAATTAAAGCAAATTTTGAATAAACAACTTTTCGTGGAAGTCTAGCTTTTATGTATAAAAGGGATATAAATGTTTAGACAACAGCTCGCGTACCTACTTAGTTTTTCAACTTTTTTGCCCTTGAAATTTGTTTCGAACTTTTTAAGCTAAACTGTTCGCACGAGGTTTCGTACATACATTTTACTCGCACCGAATTTTAAGTGGCAGAAACATCTGTATTGATAGAATCCAGATACTGTTTAAGAATGAAAAATATTCAATTACTGCAACTGAAATATTCCTATATTTTCTTAGTACTCTTCGTTTATTAGACATCATTATAATGTCATGTATTTTTATCTTTTTTATATTTGTAAATATTGCAATTGATTGGAATGTTATTTGTGGCAAATCTTCAAAGAGGTAGAAATAAAGATGGAATATTGATAATTATCTTCTCTAACAAGCTCTTATTCATAATTGCAAACTGCAGTAGTAGTGGTTCGCAAATATTAAATCAAGCGAGTTAACAAAGTCACGTGGGCGACACATATTATCACGTTTTACTAGAATAGTGCGCAAAATTCTTCAGTCGGCCAACTTTTGCTTGGTATAACACATTTCAACGTGCCAATTTGGTTAATAATGAACGCTGTTCCCAAGCGTTTCGTAAAGCCCCTAATATCTTTTCCGGCGGCTCTTTAATACCACCATGAATGTAATTATGCGGTTGCGTTTATGCTTTTAATCTACTCATTCTACACCCGACCGTTACAGTTATAGTAACAGCCCGCGCATACAAAGTGTAGCAACAACACGTGAAGGCATTACGGCAACTGAAGGAACATGCATTCCAGCTAGGGATGAGAGTTGACAAAAACCGGGGAGGAGAACAAAAGCCGGGAGCGTTTCGACAATTAATTACTCATTTGCATATCTCATTGTTAATTGTGGTTCACGTGTGCATCGTTCGCAAATGCGTCAGTTTTGAATGATGACAAGCTCCGCTCCATTCCAGAATATGAGAAAATTAATAATTAAAAGCTCTGAAGAAAATTAAGCATCAATGAAAGTTTGTTGTACCTATTTTGAAAAAGCTGTTTGTAATCAACAGCTCAATTAAAAAAAACAGTAATTGATCGATTAGCATATGTCAACCCACGATGATTATATTTATTGAAATTCCCTGACACATCATAAACAAAATTGATGAACTTTCAGAACGCAAATAGAAAAAGCCAAAACGTGATTGGTATGAACAGCGTTGAGCGTGCATTATTCTTTCTAAGCCGTCGTTATTTTATCGACATAAACGTCCACGCTATATCATCATACATGTTATTGACCACACATGACTAGCGGGCACCCTAAATGTCCGTAAACTCAAATTCACATTATGATGGGACACGCGTGTCATGAAAATAATTAAAATTGAGTGCTCTCTATATCTGCACAACCCATTCACAATGCACACATTTAGAGCTGTGACATATCTAAATAGTTAGTTAATTATGCCAATATAAGCAAATCTTGAGCAGGGACAACGTTTGTCGGCGTCAATGTCAATTTTCAAGGTCTGCAAATTTAATGTCGCATCGAATTTGTGTGCGCCTGTTTAGTCTGGTCCCCGTAATCCGTACTCTGGATGGGTGTAATCAAGTCTGTCTAGTGATGTCGCAAGCTTTACAGAAAACGCGGCGCCTCCTTCGCTCGGCAAATATGTATGCAAATCGAGTAGTTACGTGGAATGTAAACAATGGGATAATTATTTTTTGTCACCTTTAAGGCGGCGACTTGTCGACTTCTTGACTCTGGATTTACATTTGCAAATCTTGCCCCTGTGCGCACACCAAAGAGAAAAAGGTGTAATCATTGGAGACCCGAACAAAGTTTATCCTCGCATTTCACAAGATTAAATACAAGGCGACAATGTGCAGACGCAAACCAACCGCACAGAACTGGAGCAGAAAAGTCACTTGAAAATTTACATCAAGTATTCAGTCCGAGTGCCGGAATAAAATTCAGTCTAAATGCAAAAGGAAAAACAAGACAATTATAAATCATGGTGATTTCCTAAACGACTAGTTGAATTGCACTCACTAGGAAACAGGAAACCAGGAAACTATTTGATTCACAAAGCCAATACGAAGAATTTAGGTAGTCATATAATGTTAACGCGAAATATTAATTTGTGTAAAAATACATAAAATTTAAATGGTCCTATTTTGTTTCAGTTATACAATTTTTTCAACGCGCTGCTTACGCACATACCAGACACGACCAAGCCAAGGGTGTCGTCGGCCGGATCGAAAAGCTCATCAATCGGTAAGTGTTTACAAGCTGACCTCTCCTTTACCCGCCAGTCAGTCTCCGTTCTTCATTTTGTGATTGCCTGCAAATGCTCGCCGTCTTAACCTTTAGACCGCCAGCATTCGCAGCCAATGAAGCAAAGACAGAATGAAAACACCAAAGAAAATACGCGCTTGCGGACAACCGTGGAAAACTCGATGACGGATAAGAGACGCTCGTGTTACACGTTGATATTTACTTTGGGCTCGCCGACTATAATCATATTTTCTTTTATGCTCGGCGCGTATATCACCACCTCGCTATCGACGCAATAATAACTTTGGTAACGCGCGAGAAAAAAAAACCTCTTACGTTGTTCGAAGCTCAGCCCGCTGGCACAGTCCGGAGAAAAATATGGCCGTAAAATGGGAAAATTTACGATATTCGTTAACGACTCTGTGCTTCTCTTACGCTTTGTCTAAAGCCACTTCTGCTTGAGGATAAAAATAAGGCGAATAAATGAAATTATCAGTGGCACACGGTTGGGCCCTCTGTACGCCTAGGCGATTCAGGCGCTGGGATTCTCAAAAGAAATACACCTTGGGAGGTTTCGGAAAAAAATGATAAGTGCACGGAATAGCCGGGTGGGAGCCAAAGTGCTAAGATTTCTGCTCGTAAAAAAGCAAATTCTTTTTATGGTTGCGTATTAATCATAACTTAATGGATTTCAACGAAGAAAAGCTCTGGTTTCAAGAGTTTTGGACTAATGTATTTGTGATTTTGCAAAAAGTAAAGCACTACGAGATTTGTTTGCTGGATTATATTATGACGACTATCACATTTGACATAATTAGACTTAAATTTTTATTTCTTTCAAAATATAAAGAAAAAACAATTGATTCTTCGTGCAGTTGATTGATATTAATAATTGCTTATTCACAAATATTCACAATGATAATATCGGCGTAAAGATAAAAGCGATGTAAGAGAATACGATTCTATTAACACACCAGCCGCCATGCTGCAACGCGTTACATTTTATACGATTTGCAAATGTAGTATGCAAATAGTCCTTTTCGTTTCCCGCGAGCGAAGGCATATTTCCGCGTGGCGCTCATAAATTGCATTCACAACTTTGCCCAACACAAAGAGAAGAATAAACCTAAACGAACGGTACATAACCGCCTCGAGTACTCTGTAATCTATCGTCATCGAGACCTTCGAGACACTCGCAAAGAACACCGCACCTCCTCCGCCGTCTCCTTTGATATCGATAGTGGTGTGCATAGGTTATGCGGCTTGACTACATAACGACTACTTCTCATTGGAAGAGGTGACATTAATTCAATTTCAGCGTACTCAGCTTTATGTCGTACAGCCAACGTTAGAGAAAGGACGAAATATAATGATAAGAAAAGCCTGCGAAAGGCATGAAGTTCTAGTAACACTTAGACATTAATTAAACTGTGCGTAATTAGGTTATGTGAGTCTGTAATCAAATCATGCTTTTAATTGAAAGAGCTTTAGCATGCACCTAAAAAATATGAGTGAGCTGTGAGCTCGACGTTGAAATTTTCAAAACCTCTGAAATTCTTACTTCCGTTACAATGCGCGGCACGTGAATGACGTTGATGACGTCATTATTTAGTAACCAGTGACATTATTAACTAATCATATTACTCTAGTAATATAATACATTACTGCTTTTTTGTGTTTAACGAAAATTACTGGTCATTAAATATAATATTTGATATTTTCTGCTTTGAAAATCTAGTTGTATACATTTATTGCGTAGCAGGTATGCAAATTTTATTGAATTTTCCTGGATGGCCATAAACGAGAATACGTTTTCCACATTATATTCACATTGCCCTAACGCGATTATCCTGTTTGCTTTAGTCATTTTTTTTTGCCCCTAAACTTTTTAAAAGCTTTTTATCTCGATAGCCGTGTGACATTCTGGATGTGTCTGCTCTGTTCAAGTTGAGGGGAAAACAAAATACGAAATTAATAAATTCCACAAACAGGAGTGCGCAAACACGTGCCGACAAGTAAAGTGTCATTGTGTGGACTTTATGAATAATTAGCATTTAAAAATATTTCGAAATACATCAGTCTCATTTTTACATTTGCGTCCCACACAGAATTAAATTTACGTTTCAAAGTTTTATCGTGTTTTTATTATTGTTGCAGAAAACTTAGACATGCATTTTGTCGACGAGTCAGATGACCAAGAAGAGGAGGACATGGAGCATGTTGAGAAAAAATATCGTGGCATCCACATCAACTTCCCGATGCAAAAGGACGATCTAGATAAGCTGATCGAATTCTTCCGGCGGAAAAAGGTTTGTTTTACTCGTTGCTGCTAGTTTAGTTTTATTTTTACTTTTATGTTCACTTGTGCGAGTTTTGTTGGAAGAGTCTTTCTTGTGTTTGTTGACCATCCCAGCGGAAAACTCGATGATTTCTCCTGCTTTACTTCTGGACTTGTCTCTGCAACTTTGGTCTCGTTATAAATTTATATAAGAAACTAGTAAAAAGTTGTCAACGTTTTAAGTATTTTCTTTTGTTTCAGCAACAACGATTACATGCTAAGTATGTTGCACAAATTCTCCGAGATGGGATTGACCGCCTCAAAGTGCAACCAAATATCAACGTGGCTTCCACTGCCATTTCGAAGCAGATAACCGTTTGCGGGGATTTGCATGGAAAACTGGACGATCTTCTAGTCATCTTTCACAAGGTAAAATTAAATTAAGTATAAACTGAGTTTTACGTCTTCTTTCATCATAAAATCGTAATTTGATCGATTTTTTATTCTTTTTCTGCGGCAAAGAGCCCTCTTTTAACGTAATTCTCAATGTATTGATCAAGCATTGCGGTGAGCCTCACTTCGCTCAATAAGCTTATCGCGGCTAAACAATTGGGTAAATTAATCCTAATCAATTGTACGCGCGTTGCAGTGCTGGCACACTGGTCGTGGATGAATGAATAATTGACCGATTGGAAAGTGACACACGCGCAGTCCGCACTTATTCACTGACATACCATGTGACACTGATGATTCGATTGCAATTTGAAAAAGAGTAAAATCGGTTTAAACTGAAATCCGATAAAAAATATAAATCGTACTAGCCGGCAGATATAAATCGTTTTTAATTTCATTTGTAATTACTTAGAATTAATGAACGGTGAAATTGCGTCGTTTTTAATTTTGTTTATTTAATTAATTCATGACAATTTAAACCCACGCAAAAAAACACAGAAAAACGGAACGCGTAAATATGCGACAGAATTGTTGAAGGTTGAAATTCCTTTATGTTAGCTGTTTTCAAATATAATAGATGTTGAATGCGAAGTACTGAAAGCTTGTAAAGTTAGTGTAGAGATATCGGTTTAGAAATTTTCCACAACTTGTAGACAGAATACTAATTGCTTATAATAATGTTTTTGCTCGAGTGTGAAACGGGAACGCGACAATCGCTGAAACTGGAAATGCGAGGTTCGGATTTGAGCAGTGCCTACGGCGGCAACTGCAACGATTGAGGGTGATGAAATTGTACATCGTGAGCATTGTGACTCGCTTTCGAGTTGACGCTTTCGGATTTGATACAAACGGGCAAAACTGAAACGATACAACGGAACGGAAACTGCCTGCGTGCCAAAACACGCTTTCAAGAATGCACGACGTCAGACAGCTCGACAGGAAATTTCCCTTGTCTTGCAGGTCCCCTAGCACTCTCAAACCAGAATATGTGAAACGTGAATGATATGCATGGCACAAACGTTTGTTTGAAGTACGTTACTTAAATTTATAGCATAGCCATTTTTTACTTTTAACTTTAAATAATTTAAATGATTCAAATATTTTTTCACCAAAAGTGTGATCAAAATTACCGCTTAAATTTAATTAATGATTGCATTTTAATAGAAGTTCAAGTGTAAACTTAATTGAAACATAAGGAATTAAGATAAGCTTCAAAATGGGTTTTAAATGATGGAAAACGCTTTGCCATCGTCCATTTATTGAATTACTGGAATTACCGGTCGATCATCGTCTCAGACCATTTCGATTAAGATATTTCAATTTTGATTAGTTCTTCATTAACTGCCGACTGCAAATTTCTACCTTCGGGGCTTTTTAGTGCTCCCCACTTTGCCATTAAGTGTGATAGCACTTCAAGGGTTTGCAAATCAATTAAATTGCAAACTCAACTTAGTTTCCTATCAATCTTAGGTGTCAAGCTCTTTTTTCAACAATTGAAGTTTTAAAATCGTGTTAATTCACAAAAGTAATATCCCTATTATTTTTAGGACTAAAACCATTATACAAGCTACCACTTGTGAACGCATGTTCTTATTGCTGGCCATCCTGAATAATTAACGCTTAATTGCACTTAGTTTCCACGAGTTCTGTTACTTTGGCAAATTGCATTTAGCAAATTTCGTCTGTTGGCTCCAAAACTGAACTGTATGCAAACAAATATATACCCCGAAACAAAGGAGCTCAGCCGCTAATTAATTTTAATAAAATATACTTGTTTGTATATTATGCACATCTTTTATGTATGTGGTTATGAACATTTATGACAGAATTGTTTTACTTGTGCATGCTTTTCATGGCGTAGTATTCATCCAATTACTCAAATGGATCTGATCAGGAAATTTAGTTTCAAACTTGATTTAACTTTAATATTTATGACTATCTAGTCAACTAAGCAATTAGACTAATAAGGTTTATGTTAACAAATTTGGTCGATCAATCAATAATTTGTATCATGTCATGATAGAACCCAAATTTTGCTTTGAAAATATGAGAAAATTTTATTTAGTACAAAGTAAAGGAAGTCGAATTGAGGCAAAGATCACATAAAAGCAAAAGTTAGATTCTATTGAGGTCTTAAATAAAGTTATGTATGAAATTTAGTTGAAGTAATATGGGAATTTGCTGGAATGATAAAGTTACCAATTTAACTTAAATTATTGAAGATGTAATTATTAACAATGATTAACAATTATTAACAATGATAAAACAAAGTTTGTTTTGTCAATATTTTGGAATTTGAACTCATATTTATTCTTAATGGATTACACAGAGTTCTTGCCTAACGCGGTATATCACTTCGTATTACTGCGGTTGGTAAGCTCTCAAAGCCGGATGAGGGGATGCAAGGATGTACGTTGTTAGTTTACATGGTTTCTCCACTCCGATTGCTTTAAGTTCTCTTCAACGAGGTGGAATGGGCAGCCGGAAGCGACGGAAACGATGGAGATCTTCGTTCTTTCGGATTTTTTAGCGTTTGTAGTTTTGTTTGCTTTTTTCATTTTTGCACGGAAAGGTATCAAGGTACAAAAGCCGAACCCCGCTTTTGCATCAAGTTGTCAGTAGTCTCCTCTCGAAATTGAAGTGTTTTCCAGACAATAGTGATTGGTTTTCCTACCTTAAAAAAATTAAAGAAATTTAAATGGTTTTAAAGTAAAAACTTAAATCTTAAGAACGATGTACATTTTTTTAAATGCTGGTAAAAAATATTTAACACTTTACGTGTTGTTGATAGTTGTTTAGCCTCTGCAGATCCCGTCTGGAAAATTAGCAAAGTATTGATTGCATCTAATAACTTTACCCTCACCATGTGAGCAAGTAGTAATTTATGTGGGGCCCCAGTGCCAATAATTACAAAGGTAAATTACGTCCGTCGTGTTTGCTCTGTGGAATACTATGTGTGATGCCCGCATTAACCTCGCAGGACCTTCGCGCTTTGCGCTTCAAACTTTACCGTGGTCTAGCGCTTAATTTACTTATCAAATCAATAATTAAACACAAGTTCCAAAACATACAAAATCAATTCAATGTTGTTGCGCAATTATAAATTACTAATGTATATTTACATTTATAAACATAATGTTTGTTTTTCTCATTAACCTAGTAATTTGCACTTTTTAATCACTTAAATAATGAGGGATAATATGACATCAACGTAAAGTATATGTTGATAAATTAAAAAGTACATCAGGGATGTACAGAGTATAATGTATAAAATAGAAAGGTAAAAGTTGAAAATATTCATTATTGATCACTTTACTTAATTAAAAGGCGTTTACAATATACGATATAATGGAGTATCATATCCGCGTCAGCGTATCTCGAATTGGCGATCTACATGTAATGATCACGTTTATGTGACAAATGTGGATGATAAATGACAACGCACATGAATATATACAAATAAATTAATGCACCTACCTGTTATGCAACGGAAATTATACAAAAAAACGAATAGATATAAGGTCAGGTACCTACTATATAAAAACAGTAACTATACCAAAATCATTACAAAATTGATCAAATATGAAAAATACTAGTAGGTAGCTACTATATTATTTTATAATGGATGCGTTTTTTGCTTGAGGAAATGATTGATTATGTTTCTTGAATGTTTGCCTCATCTACTTTCAGAATGGTCTGCCTTCCCCGGAAAACCCATACGTTTTCAACGGAGATTTTGTAGATCGTGGTAAAAAAGGACTTGAGGTTTTGCTACTTCTCCTCGCCAGTTACATTGTTTTTCCGGGTGGCGTGTTTCTGAATCGAGGAAACCATGAGGATCACATTATGAATAGTCGGCAAGTACAATACTCATCACTTTTGTATTTTATTAGAATAGTAGGTACAATCAAAGAGAACAATAAAAATGATGATGCATGTTTTTGGGGATTACATGTAGTTATGGGTTTATAAAAGAGGTGCAAATGAAATATCGCCACAATTCAGAAAAACTGCTGAAGTTGATTGACGGCGTGTACCGCTGGCTGCCACTAGGCACAGTCGTCAATAATCGCGTGCTGATTGTACACGGTGGTATTTCCGATAACACCGATTTGGACCTCATCAAAAACGTCGATCGCGCAAAGGTAACCACTTCATTCAACAAGTTATAATGACACATCGATACAAAACTACTCAAACAACACTAACGTCACATGAATTGCAGTACTCGTCCTTACTGAGACCACCGCTACATTCCGACGGATCGGCGCCGGGCGCTGAATTAATTGATAAAGTGGAGTGGAAGCAGGTGAATATATAAAAATCCTGCGTTTTATAGTGTGCAGATTTTTTTTTATTTGAGTTTACGTGATTTTTTTTACAATTTATATTATGTTAGCTCTTCGATATTCTCTGGAGTGATCCTCAATCGAATGAGGGTTGCATCCCAAATGGACTTCGGGGAGCTGGTACCTACTTTGGGCCAGACGTTAGCGCCAAATTTCTACAGCGTAACAAAATGCTTTACCTGATCAGATCGCACGAATGCAAACCAGAAGGCTACGAAGTCGTTCACAATAATCGGGTAAGTTTGATCTATTGCTTGCAAACATCCACTGACTCTTTAAAACACCGACTCATATAGATTCGTGCACATTTTTAGTACTCAAGCCATTCTTTTGATATAAAGTTAAATGAAAAAGTTTCTAGGACACGTCTACACGAACTAAATTCATAAAAATGTATATGACTTATTTCATAAATTATATAACAAATCTTTTTCTTTTGATTAGTTTTCTAGTTGAAAAAATACCTTTGTTAAGACCTACATTCTGATAAAATTGCTGAAAAAAGCTTCATATTGAAAATTTTCGCTTTGGTGCGTGAGTTATGTGCGTACTGGTTGATTGCCTACTTGGTAAAATTCAAAATGTTCAATCAGCTCACGCACCTATCGCCGAGAGCCGGCCAAAAATGATATTTTGTGGAATCTGGCACCATGTGACGCTCTGAAACCGCGTATGAAATTATTTTACACCAAACCGCTGTGGTCTACAAGCGTTTATTTTCATGTGCACATTAAACCATTGAGGATTAAATTGCATCGTTTTACTAATATTTACATAAATTATACTAAAATGTACAATTTAATAGAAGTACAATATTATAGATATTTACCAAATTAAATTAGGTATTATAATATAAAGTAATCTTTTCCATTAAAGCGGTTGAAATTTTCTGAACGCTATGTCTTTACTAACCGAACCGAAACAATTTAATGAACACATTATATGGTTTTCCGTATAACGCTGTTTGGTATTTTGTGTCTTCTCGCACAGGTGATAACAATATTCTCGGCTTCTAACTACTACGAAGTGGGTTCCAACAAAGGCGCATATTTGAAGCTGGTCGGACAGAATCTAGACACGCACTTTATACAGTATACTTCCAACGTCGGGAAAACCAAACGCTTGACGTTCAGGCAGCGTGTCGGTCTGGTTGAAGAGTCGGCGATGCGGGAACTGCGCGGCCACATTGTGTCAAACCGAGAAGCATTGGAAAGTAAATTTGCTAAATCTGATCCTGAAAAGACTGGTGAGTACAATATAACACTAACGTTTCACATCGTATAGTATAGGAGAATGTTGGCAAACAATGTTTATTAAAACTCCAACCTTTGTTTGCTCACTTAAAGCAACTTGGAAAATGTCTACATCTAAAATAAATATATTCGGAGAACAATTTATTTCAAATTTTATGGATGCATTGTTTGAAAACATTCAACGCAAAGTTATCAAAACAAGTTTCAAATGTGTAGGTTTGAAGCTTTCTTTCTGAAAAACTTCCTGAAGTCATTAAGATAGTTCCGGCTAAGTTATGGAGCGAAGCTTGAACGAACCCAAAAGTAACTCTAAGAATTGTAACGGAAAACAAAGTTTTTAAAGCTTTAAAGGACAACATTAAAGAGTTTTTTTAAGTTTTTATTTTTATAGTCGTGGACTTTAAAAAATAAAAGTGGAAGTGCTTAAATTCCAATTTACTTAAATTACGGTGGTATAAATCGCTTTCACCTAAATTGTAAAAAAGTTAATAATGCCATATATCAGTACCGACATAAACATACGTGGGTAGAAGACGCCCATCGACAGATTAGAGATAGATCGCTCTTAATATCCTGAATATCCGCTTTACCTGCGTCGGATTTGTTTTAGCTGATGCTCGTGACTCGAGGTTCGTGTTGAGCTCGCCTTTATCAGCAATGCTGTTGTGTCGAAGCGTGAGGTTTGTGGTGGTTGACGCGTGCAATATTTATGTCCTGTTTATCAAAGCTTCGCCGAGTCGCGCCCCGCAGGCGAGGATTTATCGGTTATTTGTCATGTTCGATGGGAACGATCGGCGCGGGACTATTTGCATATTAACATCCAATCGAATGCGAGATGCGCCAGCGTAAGTGCGACTTGCCGCGCCGATAACTATCACCAGATAAACGTCAAACCGCATACCTGTGAATAAATTAATTCCTCAAATATATTTTCAATTTTAAATCAACATCTGTCATAACTTTAATACGCATCTGCATATATTTGAATATGGTTACGCACCAATAAAACCGAAATTACGCGATTCTCAAAGGATCCAGTGACAAATAAAATATAACGAGCCTCGAAAGAAAAAATGTTGAAAATTCTTTGTATAATCTGTATACAATATGTTTTTATGAAAAAAACAAATTTGAATTAATAAATTTTCAGTTTAATAGCAGAAGTATCGGCTAGTCGTTAATTTATATTGAACAATTTTACTTTATACTCATAAAAATTATGAGCTATAGTAAATATGTAGTTTTAGTTATATTGTACTGTTCCACTCGTCATTAATCACTCATATGCTGCAAAAAAATTTCATATCTGACAGAGAAGTAATCAGAACAAACTAAAAAGCCTTCACCAAACCGCTCTTCATGTTGAAGTGCTGTGAAATGTTTGATAGGATAAAAGCCTTTATAAGCTCGTTATTTTAGCGGTTAGTGGGCACACGTAAAGGGCAATATTACCGCAGCATTTTCACAAACCGAATGAGTGAAAATACGAATTTCAATTCAAATTGCAGGTATTTATAGCGTCGAATAGCTGGCTATGCGTGACCAAAAAGCATTAACTACTTTTTCCACCCGTTGCCGAATCAGCACATGTAATGCTAACGTGGTTAAGTAATAACATCGCTGAAACGATTAAACAGCCTTGTCTGCCCACATATCTACATATCACAGAACTTACGTTAAGAACGTTTTATCGTAAATATCTCACATTAGGCGGCCAGAGAAATTATAATACGCTATATACAAAAAAAACATTTTATTTAATAGTAATGCATATTTTTTTAGGTTTTATATTTGAAAGTTTCTACACATATTTTCATTCAAAATTATATGTAGAGAAATATAAACTGACGGCTTTATTAAAGGTATTTGCGTTCATGTACACCTGTGATTATCTGTTTATCTTTAATTTGCTTTCCACCCTCGCTTTCAACTTGCTTCCGAGGTGATTCAAAGCGAAAGATAAGTCCACGTCAATAAAACCTCCCTATTATTGTCAAAGATAAATTTTAAATGAATGTGTAGTATTTTATTTCTTGATATTCTTGGTTCAGATTTATCATTTATCTGTATGCGATACGTTCTGCAAATACACTTTGTAGATAATGACGTTCTAATGTTTTTCTATTACCTGTACTTTTCTATTTACGAAGTTTGTCTCTATAAAAGCTTAGTTGGTGCGGTGAGGGCACTCGTTGTTTATTCCAATTTGTTGGCATTTTCTGTTGTTTGCCTAGATGCGCGCATTTAGACAATAAGTATATTCTTGGTTTTGGCGGCTTCTAAGTGTATTTTTCTGGTTTCGTTTCTAGTTTTGTCCTTATTCTCAATTCTCCAAATGTTTCACTTCCGACTTTTCGTCGTATCATCAAAGAGAAATTGTGTGTGTCTCCATCAATCGTAATTTACTTCTAGCGGCCTAGACATTAACACCCATTATTATGTTGAATGAAATCTTCCAAGCGTTGCGAAGGACGAATAAATTTCACCACCAAACAGAAACTGGTGTGTTTTAGTGGAAATACACTACACGCATTCTGTAGACAGCATAAACATATTTTAACCAGTTATTTTTCTTTCAAATCTAAAATAAATAGATGAAATCATATGAGCAAAGAGTTACTTTTGTTGACTTTTGATCGTTCAATCATCGTTCCCCGAAGTAATGTCTTTCCTTTGCAATTTCAATCACTTTGATCAGACAGTTTGGTACCATAGCAAATCTTGTGTCAAACAAGTTGTTTATGTTTATCATGTCAATTTGCTGTTAGTTGTTGGTCTTGATTTCCTCCAATACTGGTTGTTTGATGTTGGGTGATGTTCTGCTCTTGTTGTGCTCAAACTAGAGAATTTCTCTTGCTAGTTGTCAACCAGGCCAGAGTTAAAAGCGTTCCTGTGTACTTTACCTATAGTTTGCAAGAAGTCCCCAGAAACTGATTAGAATATATTGAATACATTTTGCATTGTACAATTATATAATATTACTCTATACAACTGAATGGTCTCAACATTAAATGGCTCTTGAGGGTCAAAATATAAACATAATCATTGGAAATATATTTTATTGCCAATTTCATAAGAAATTAATCTATTTTGATTGCTTTTAGGTTTTATTTCTTTAAGCGATTGGTGCCGAGTAATGGAAGACGTAACGGAGCTAACACTTCCATGGAGAATGCTTAAGACTCAACTAGTTGTCCAAGATCCTGATACCCAGCTCGTTAAATACTCCAGTACTTTTGACAAAATGATGCTGCAAGGCCAATCTAACGTAAGTCCGGATTAAAGCATTTGTCCAATTTAATGGAGCTATAAAAGTTAATCACTTTTAATATTAATGAAAATTTAGTGGTTATTTATAATTATTCTTTATATCCTCTACTTGCAAACTCAATTAAAGCAACTTTTGCAATAGCCGGTTCAACGTGGCAGAATATTCAAATAAATTACCTGCAATTCTTTATATTTATGTCTTCTCATTATTATTAAGCGACGCAGGAGGCAATAAAATTAGTTATACCTTTGGTGTAAGAGTATTAGTAGGTTTCAAAAGGGTAAGCGGAAGCAGGAAGCATTGTTGATCAAATTTATTTCGTATAACTTGGGTAGGTGTATGAATTAAATTTAAACTCAATTGTTTTATTAAACCTTTTATTAAATATATACGGGATCAACCATTTTATTATACGATGTCATAATGTTAATATGGTTTTATAGAGAGAGATTGTCGCTTTTATTAATTGAGTAAATCTTAGGATTAAGAAGAAGCGACAAAGGCGAATAATGTACAAATGTTTTTGCAGAATGGAGGAAATGCGAATAACGTCGTGGAAACGCTCTACCGAAACAGAAGCAGCTTGGAAGCAATTTTCCGGATTATTGATAAGGATAATTCAGGTAGAACATTCTGAGCCATCTGTGACGCAAAATAAAACTTTTGTGTTTTCCATTACGGTTTTTTCTTCTCTTGGTTTTGCCTTCAGAAGACTTCTTCTGTAATTAGTTTTAATTGGTTTTGTGGCCGTTTCTATCGACAAAGTATAGTAGTACATAAAAAGTATTTTTTTAGGTTTCATAACTTTGGAAGAGTTTTCGGACGCATGTAATCTAATTAAGGAGCACATGCCGAATCCGATCACCCAAGACCAACTTGAAGATATTTGCCGACTGATGGATATGAATAAAGATGGTTTAGTAGACCTAAACGAGTTTCTCGAGACGTTCAGGATGGTTGATCCGATGCAGAGGCGCATGCACGATGGATATTGTGAAAATGACGACGGTGGTTTCGGAAATGACGATGCAGGTCAAGACGGCGCAGGTGGTAAGGTAGACGGCGAAGATGCCCGGCAACGTAACGGGAGCGCGACAACCGCACTTGAGACGCCTCTGTAGAGTGTTTTAATTGGCGGGACCTGCAAGTCTTTGCAAGTTCTCCGTGGTGGCTTTCCGGAGTGCTGGCGGCAAGCTTCATCATTGCACGACTAAAACACTGATCCCTTCGCGTCCTATGCTCACACTATGCCGGAAGCTACTGCCAAAATGGCACATTGCCAAAACGACACCCCAGCAACAATCCTTCCAGATGTTGAAACATCACTCACGAAATGAGCCTACAAACATTTTGAATTGTTGCTGCTGGTAAGAATTATTGATTTTATATGTTATCAATCGTAAATGAGTACATCACGGCTTGACCACAATTCGGAAATGACATGAAGATTGCGTTAGCACGTGAATTTGATGGTTCCTGCTTAATTTTTAATTAGTCTATACTGGACCATAACATGAAATACATGCCCTATTACAGACAGTTTGCATTTGACTATATTTGCTCGAACTGTGCGCCAACAAATCGATCGAACATATGACGCATCAAATGCTCAAACACACAGCAACCAGAATACAAACATAAACACAATTCAGGCAAATCAGCTAAAACAGATATTCTCAATCAAAAAAAGTGTTGGTTGTGTGCGTTGATTGAAATTTTATTATTAATTATTTTTAAATAATTTAATTCACATGCAGCATGTTTTGCGTTTTATATAAATCACTGTCAGACACGCTGGACTGTGTCTTAACATGATCAGTAGTCCAAGAAATTGAAAAATGTTTAATGAAAATACTAATTGTAAGATAATTCTTGTTGGGGGCCAGTCTAAAACAACTCTAGAGCTTTATAAAACATATTAAATCTATTTAAAATCGCTTCGAATGGCTAAAGCAAATCTGAAATTAAACAAATCTAATCAACTTAAAAATAAGTTGAACATAACTAAAAATATAACTAAAAAAATATTAATTTGTTTAAGATTCTATCTAGCATAAGAGTGAACTTTAAGGTTTACTGAAAATGAATTTAAATCCAAATATTTTGTGATATTTTTTTATGAACGTGATCTTTTCTAATAGTAAATATTTGTTACACATTATTTTTCAAATTGGAAAATATAAACATATAACTACGTATTACGATAAAATTGTTGATTATTTGAATATATAAATTAGAAAATCAAGTTTGAACGAATCTACTTTTAGACTTAATTTATTAATGTGATTGTTTTAATGATAGTTTAATTTTATGACCAATGAAGGGTTAAATGATATTTGTTAACGAAGATGTCTCTTCAAAGCGTCCAAACTTTAATATACTAACGAACCAAATACGACATATTTAATATGTAATGATATCTAGTCAATCTTTATATTAACTATGCATAGATTAACAAATCATGGTCTATAAAATAGTCTTATATCTAATAGACCCATTTATCGCAAACCTCTCAAATAATTTAAGATTTAAATTAATTGTTTATTCTATTTTGAATGTGCTTAACATAAGGCCGATTGACTGGTAATATCTGTGTATGAAAAACAACATAAAGATTATCAATTTCAATGTATTCAATTCAAACTTTCAAAGGAAAAAGAAACTAAATAAATATAACAATATATTCTATAAACTTCAGTTTTATTATATATCTGTAGAGTATTTTTAAACATATAGGAAACAGACACAACTTAACTCGATATAATAAAATGTTTTAAAGATATTAGAGCATATGTAAAAATGATGTATACTACTAAACAAAAACGAGTAATAACGTAAATTACTATGACTACTATGGTATGAACTCATGATCTACGCTCATACCTAATCGTATACCTTAAAGTTTAAAATTACTTCGTATTTACGGTTTATATAAACACTGATAACATATTGAAGCCCTATAAATAAGTACTTATTTCGAAATGAATGTACCACATTCAAGTTGAAGATACCAAATGGAAATGCTCATTTAATTTACATCATTATCTTCGATTAATTTCAATAATTCTGAAGATAAGTTAAAAACACGCATTTCCACTCATTGGCGCGCTTTTTTTTTATCTGTGTGCATGCATTATTTTGTTTAAGTACTTTATTAAATGGAACAAATACCCCACTTATTTGGTATAAATACCGAAAGTTTTTGTAACTCTGAATTAGTAAGGTGTGTAAACGTTGACATAAGCAAATAAGAAATCTCAAAGTCAAAATGCAGTTCTCTACTCTGTCGGTAGTATCGGTTTTATTGTTGATCAGTATAAACGCAACATTTGGTCAGAAGTGTCCTGACGGTGGAGAAATTTACTGTAAGTAAAGTTGTGTTCTTTTGTCATCTATATTGAATTATTGTTATTGTAATGTGTTTTTTTTAAATTTCTTTAGCTTGGGGCATTGATGAAACTGGTAAGAAAACAGTTGTAGCTGAGCATAATCGCATACGACAGATGATTTTGGATGGTAAAGTGCCTAATCAACCACGAGGGAAAAATATCAAGTTAATTGAAGGTTTCGATTCCAATTTGAGTAATGAGGGTAGAAAAGTCTCACAAATGTGTAAAATGAATCATATCACTGCATCTGACAGTAATAAATTTATGAACTGTTACATGTCTCTATGTTTATAATTCGACATTTTAAGATCGATGGAACTGGGTTGGGCAAAACTTATACATTAGCTGGAGCTCTGCAAACAACGCTGGGCAAAATTGGACTGCTGCCGTTGATAGTTGGTATAAGGAAAACAAAGATTTCATTTACCCGGATAAATCAACCGGAGTTACTGGACATTACACCCAGGTGATATATTTGCTTACTTTAGTTTATTCTCAATTACTAATCAAATAATAGGTAATTTGGCACGATTCTAACACCTTGGGATGTGATTTCATCCAATTTTATGACAAATCAAAACCTCAATATCCCTACGCCAAATTGTACACATGTAACTATGGACCTGGGTAAGTTTAAATACTTAAACTACACTTGTGCGACTATCACATAATAACAAAATTTATAATAGGGGCAACTACGTCGGTGAAGCACCTTATCAATTGGCTTAGAAAATAAAAACGATTTTATCATGCAAAGTATTCTATAATATATAAATCACTATATATTCTGTAATGTACTATATATACTTATTGTATATTGTATACACTAGAGCACATAACATTGACTATAAATTAAAACTATGGAAAATATTCAGTTTAAACTTTATTTTAAGCAAACTCCTTATTTATTTATTAAAGGCAAGTATGAGAAACGCATGCGCCAGATTGGTCGCACATGCGATCTTTGCAATGACCTCGAGGCATTATTGTTGCAACAACAATAGTTGCACCTAGTTGCGAGGTTGAGTGCACGCGGTTTGTCATTCTTCCTGCAAACATATCCCGTGTGACTTTGAAGTTCTGTAATCTACGGTTCTTCTCAGGAAGAAAGTGCCACCAGCTTCCTGCGATACGAAGTATGTACATTTTTAATTTTGTTTCGTATTTTTCAAACGCAGTCACCGCGTGTTTGGACTTCTATACATTGTACCATCGATGCGCTCTCTCGATTTAGCGCTGGCGTTATCTGCACCGGCGCTCGGTTCTGACTCGTCTTCCGCACGTCGTCAGTCGTCTTTGCAAAGCGTTTGAGTGTGGTGTGTCGTGGTGTATATTGATTTAAACCGTTTTTAATCTAGTTTAGTGTGCTTGTTGTTTTGCTGAAGGCAAATAGTCCGCCGTATGTTCATTAAACTCACAGAAAGGGTACAAACTCAAATTTTTAATTTAATTTCGGATAAATACTGTATTGGTTCACATTACTTATGTCATCTTTTCATTTTTGATATAGGAAAAGTTTTTTCCGTTGACTATGACTATATTTCTGTGCCTTTAGTAACCAATGTTATGTTTTCAGCCGTAGATAGACGTAAGAAGCGATGTTCACACCGTTGGTCATATAATCAACTGTGATAATCTTTGTGAGGTGGCTCTGTTCTACAACACCGGTCCGGTACCGTCAATAACGCATCTTGTGGTCTTCTGAAGTTTCCACAGAAAATCTAAAAGTTAGTAGTTCGTAATAAGAAGCACCTTCAAGATCCTACACCTGGGGAATAGTGTAATAGCACTATGTGCTACAGGTGTTTTGCCGGACTTGCTGCAAAATGTAAGTAATAAAACTTGTTTTATTATTTCCGACACGAAAAGGCTGCCAGTTTGTGAATTGCATTTTAACAATGTGATTTTTTTAAGGCAGCGTAGCAGCCTAGTGGTACGGTGGTAGGTCCGCGGTTCAAATCCCGGCCGAGATGTAGGTACACCTCTGCACGTTGCGGCAGCCATACCAACACCGTTGGTTGTCGTGACAGAAGTCTTTCTCACCTTTGGGAACGGCTAGCAACCACCCAAAGGGAATGTTTATGCTCATAGTTGTCCAGCCAAGTCTGGATGAAAAACAGGCTAATAGCCTATGCTGTATAAGCGACCATACGGCCAAGAGAGAGATGTTTTTTTTTAGGTTTAAACTTTTGCAATATTATCACAAGGATCAAGAAGTCCGTAATGGAACTGAAGAATGAAGTTCACAACACCGCCAAACTTAGGATTTCAAGTTCTTATTTTACTGTCAATTTAATTGAATCTAAAAATAGCGCAAGACTTTTGTTTTAAAATTAGGGTGTCATGTGGATACCATTTGATTCAGTTGCGAAACACAGTGCAAAACTGCAACGCATTTTTTCTCGATATTTCTTTGACGCGGTTTTGGTTAATCAAATGAGCCTTAGATTTGCATTTTACAAGATGAAACATTTCATCAAATTTTCGCGATTTTCCGTTCCGTATTTCTTTCTGTTTTGCCATGTTACAGTTAATGGTAAATTTTATTTGTTGCATATGAAAACATGTTCGTAGCAGTTCATTGCGACCTGATAAATTCCTTAATCTTGGGTAAATTGTTAATTCGCATTAACTCTATTAATTTATTTAGCGCACTCCCAAAGAACGTCAATGTAAGTTGTCAATTCAAAATAACACTTTACACTTTATCGAGAAGTTTATTTAGGTAGCCATTTACTGCAGTGGACATGTTTTCATATGTTACAAATACCATTTAACATTAACTGCAACATGGCAGTACAAAATTGACTCATAAAGTGCCGGGAATGGAAGTGTATTTTTGTAAATATGTGCTTTCCACAATTTGTGGAAACGTGTTGTGCGCTTTAGTACTTTTTGGATGGAAGAACAAAGAAGAAAGGAACATCAAGTAAAAATTTACTTTTACTTAACTTTTATTTAAGTTTGTTACAGGTACAATCTTATTGTTTTTATAATAATTTGAAATGATCCAATTAATGGAGGATTACTTGATCTTACATCTTACATTTACAGGATTAGCCATGTTAAACGCAAATATTGAATAGTATATGTAGTATAGGTATTTTATGTGTGTTCTTTTATTTAGTTATAGTAAATGCAACAGAGAGAACTAATTAGCAGCCACCCAGCGAGAACAACAGCCAGGAGTGGCTGGGATTTTAATTTTTTTTGCGGCGTGTCGTTCTAGGGGACGAAAGAAAGATTGAAAGTAATGAATTTGTTTATCATTTTCATAATTAATTTATGTGACTAGCACACGGTAAACCTGCAAAAATGTTATTTTTGTGCTTCGATGTGCTAATTGTTGTTTTCGGTTGTTTTAGGTGTCTAGCGGGCGAACGAAACTACCACCATTCTGTCATTGTAAGTATTGATTTTTTACAATTTTCATTTATAACATTTGGGTTTAATACAAGGGGAAGCCATTAAATAAAAGTGGTATTTTACTCCAATACGTTTATTAAAGTATTTTCTTCAAAATAAATTTTTTCTTGAAATGTTAAATTGGGTTGCGATATATTTGTTATCGTATTTTTGCCGTATGAAGATAGAAGGTTGCCCCTCTAATTGCGGGTTGCTTGTCAATTCTCTTTCCTGCAGTCCGACTTAGTCGGCTGTGCACTGCCGCGTGGTGCGCTCGTGTTTTGATCATTAATCACATATTGTGACAATTTTTCGTATTTCTTAATATTCTGTAGTAATACAGGAATCGGTTGACAATCAGAGACATAGCCCCGTGTAGCGCCCAACGAATCATTAGTAATTCTTCAAGGTGCGCGCGTGGTGTCCATCGGATATGTTTCGGTGCCTATGGATACTTACTGGAGTTGATTTTAAATTTATTTGTTTAACGTGACTTAAACATCCGCGTGGAATAGTAAAGAAGTGCGTATCATCAATGCGCTTTAGCTTTGTATGGACGAAAGAACGAAGACGTATGTAATATCAAGTAAAATTTTACTTTTATTTAATTTAATTCTACCAGTATATTTGTTCTGTGCGTGTCATCCTCTTGAGCATATTTCCTTGATTGCTGTTTATGTTATGTAATTGTGTATGTAGAACTTGAGAACTCCTTTTATTGTGTATATGACTTTGCTCGTGACCGGACTTTTGCCCCCAAGACGATCGCTCACACGACAACTGCTCACAGACAACTGCCCACAGTCATAACTGCGCACACGGACAGTTGCTCACAGGGTTTTTGCTCACATTGAAAATTGCTCACAGGACTTTTGCTCACACGGACAATTGCTCACTATTTAATTTTTTTAACTTTTTTTTTAACAATGAATATTAATTATGAAATAATTTATACACAAATATATAACAATTAAGAGGCCTCGCGTGCACGCTAATAGTGTTTGATTTTTCAAATAAACTATTTGTTCATACTATCTTAATTAATTAGCAATAAATATACCTCTTTGAAGTTTCACTTCTAGCATACTCACACATAATTTTTAATAATTACATAAATAAATAACTAATATATGAATAATTGTAAATTTGCCAATCTCCTTAAATATTGCATTATTATTCATTGTTTTTTAATAAATATAAAAAAATTAAATTGTGAGCAATTGTCAATGTGAGGAAAAGCCATGTGAGCAACTGTCCATGTGCGCAGTTATGACTGTGGGCAGTTGTCGTGTGAGCGATCGTCTTGGGGGCAAAAGTCCGGGAACCGACTTTGCTGTATTGTCTTATGTATTAATATGTACATACATGTTTGTTGTACTGTCCACCTAGAATTCGTTTTTATATGTAAATGTTCTGTATTGTATTGTAGTTGTTTGTGTTTTAATGTTTGCTTGCACCTTGTGTTGTGTGTTATAATTAGCATTGTTTATTTATGTTGGTGCCTGTAGAAGAAGTTTAGGAGCACTTGTGCCAAGGAGTCGACCGCTTCCGTCGCAGAAATGTTAGAGATGTGCGTATTACAAGGCAGGTTTTACTTTCAGGAGATTTAAGAGCTGTCTATGATTTCCTATTTTAAATAAATGTATGGAGTTTTTAATGTTTCTAATAGAACATAATGTAATATTATATACTTCTTCATATTTCTTTCTGGTTTCCCCTTTGTCGTTTGCAGGATTGATGTCTTAAATCACATTCCATATAAATCTTAAGTGAGTCGAGCATGTACAATATATAGCTGTTGTTTGTGTTGTGTTGTTGTTTTAAAAAGTTGAATAAAGTAGAATCATAAATAGAAGAATCAAATAACAATGATAAAAGCACTCCGTGGTCGAGTGGAGACGTGCACCTGCTGGCATGCTAGTAGTCACGGATCGAATCTTAGGTATAGAAAGCATTTTTCTCAAATATAAAAATTACAGGTGAAATTTGGGTTGCATATGTAGACTCAAATGAAATATAAGAGGAATTGAAATACAAGTGAAGGCGATAATATGAGAAGTAAGAAAAGTAAGTGGAGAAACGGAGAACAGAGAAATAGGAGAAGTAGAAGAAGGAAGAGAACAGAGTAGAGAAGAGGAGGAGATAGAAGAAAGAGCAACAACAGGAGTGCATCAGATTTTTAAATTTTTTGGCACGTGTCGTTATAAGACAGTCTACGGTCTCTGGTCGATCGCCCACTGCTCCGATGCGTCCATTGCTCCCGGCCCACCCTACAGCTACGATGTCTCTGCGCTTCATCCCCAGGATTCTTAGGCATATCAACAATTTTTATGGTAGGGGATCACCCCCAGAGAGAGGGAACTTCTTATATTTCTAAGTTTTAAGTCGCCTCAAGAGAGGTGACACTTAAAAATATTCCTACAAGTTCTGACCTGTAGCTGAAACGAAAGAAGGAGCACACAAATCACACAGGATACCTTAACAATTTTTATAGTGGGGATCATCCCCTGGGAGAGGGAACTACTATTTATTTATTAGCAATAGAATACAAGTTTATATTTTACAAGTCAACAGAATACGTGCCGCCATATTGAAGCAGGACTTATGACCTGCGTAGCCGCGCACATGCCAGCAAGTACAACTTCATAAAGTTCGGCCGGAATAATGAAATTAGTAAATAGCTAATTTTCTAGGTGATTGGAAACAAATATACAGGATGTTACAAAAGGAAAATTTAAAGTAAAGTAAAGGTATACAAATATTCAGGGTGTTCCAGAAAGACAATTCGAAGTGCAAATGGGACAATACTAAAAACAACAGTTAAAGCAAATTTTTCACGAACACAAAGTAAAACATATATACAGGGTGTTCTAGAAAGAAAAACCCATCAATCAAAACAGAACATTCAAAACTCACAACTAAAGGTGATTTCCTACGTGCGGTTAGGAAAACTAATATACAGGGTGTTTCGTTTTTTTAAGGAACTACACAGGGAATCAATATTCACAATATGAAGAGGGAAATTTACAAATTAACAACAATATTTTAATATAAAATCAGAGATATACCCGAAAATCATCGGATTATTGAGCAAAAAGGTGCTACAAAATTAAAACACTTACATTTTAATATATTGTGAATATATATTTATTAATTGATAGTAGCATCAACTGTATAAGGTAAGCGACGGGTGAAGCATCATCATAAATTGATAGAATATCCGGTGGAAAACAACTAAATCTACAGACGGCAAGCGACGGCGCATAGCAACACAGTCGTTTAAGACGATAAAAATAACTATTTCTTTATAAATATTAAGATATACTGAGACTATGAAAACGAAAAAACTATTCACCGTTCAAGATTTTATTTCAACAAGAAATTATTAATTTAATGATGCAATTCGATTATAAATGTTTACGTGATCATCGAAAACATGACCGAACCGACGGCCGACGGCAAAGTAAGCGTGGTCGACCACATGAATATTGTCATTTTAATAATTCTCAGATAATTTTAATAACCCTGCTTGTAATAATTAAATGAAGCATGTTGTTTTCGGAAACGCGACTAAGAAGTCTGATAAAAATGCCACAACGTGTTTGTAATCTACAAAATTAATATCCGTCAAATTAAATAATCAATTTAAGTTAAACCGCCTTAACTTTCCGCGATAAATTTTAATTATCCACCAACCTGTGCATTGATGAGGAGATTTTCCATCCTGTAATATATTCTATCAACTGAAAACTCGCGCAGGGATTAACGGATACTTATTTCTCACTTAAGAAGACTCTAACCGCCATAAATCATTAAACAAAACAGGCACACATTCCCATTGCGAATATTTTGACGATGGCCGAAAGAATGCACGACCATTAATACTATTAAAACCTCAAAACGCATGGCGATTAGAGATGCACGTTCGCTGACCACGCGGTGAAACGACGGCCGTGTGCACGACGCGTAGCAAGGCAGGTACGAGTACACAGCGATAACACGCGTCAGTCAAACCAAAAAAGTTGTTTATACACAAATGTTCTAATAAACACGTAGTTGAGAAGACGAAACTAAAATTCTCAATATTGAAATAGGACATAGGTATACACGGAATCTAAAATATTTTACTTTCAATATTTCTCGGCTTAAGAAAAGAATATATTGACTTTGGGATGTAATAAGATTGCCAAAAACAAGAATTTAATTTACCATTATAAATAAATAATTTATTTAATTTATTTAAATTAAATATTCACTTAAATGGGCAAAGGGAGGTGCTGCGTCATGTTTTTTGAGTATTTTTGGTAACGAATATCATTTAAACTAATACGTTAGCGACCAACGGATTGAAGATTATGAAACTTTGGAAAATTCTCTATCAGATAAAAGTATAAAATAATTAAATTTCCTGGGCTAAAACGTCCAAAAATAATTTATATGTAAAGAAATAATAAATTGTTGTTATTGACGTTACACAATATATGCTTGATTTCCCATCACTCGCCGGTAATAATGCAAATTCGAAGCGTAGTTGTTCCATCGTTTATTCTTTCTTGGTATTTCAACAAACAAAATTATCGTTTTATAATATCTATCCCTCAATTTTAGGTTAAAAATAAACTCATGTGTTGCTTCTGAAAACGAAGTTCTATTTCGTTAATTTGGTACAAATACGATAACTTATCTAACTACACTATTATTACAACTTTACCTGAAAACGAAGAAACGACAATTAAAGTCTATTCTTCCACCAATTATTCTTATTTATCTATTTTAATTAATAAATCTAACACAATAAATTTCTTTTACAATGCTATTTTTTCATAACCTCTCAACTGACCATTGACCTCAGACCAAAGATACCACAGACACTATATAGCACTTGTCAGTTGTCAATGTCGTTGGTAATGTAGTAAGCGCGGCAAAATTCAAAATTAAAGAAATATTATTTCTTTACCTATATTTTATCAATACGACTCACTTCTTCCGCTACCCTTGTACGGTGCCCTGAATCGAGTCACTTCTACCGCTACCTTCGTACGGTGCCCTGAACACGAAACAAACAAACATATAATACAATGGAATCCCGGTAATCCGACAATCACTATGCAGGGCAGTGTCGGATGAGTGAATTTGTCGGATTATAGAAAAGTGCCTAAGACCCCTTACAGTCCGAAATTTTTTACAAACAAATACCGACAAATTACAAATCTTAAAGTATAAACATATGGTAGGTATATGACCATGTCGGATTACAAGATGTGCCGGATTAAGCCTTGCGGATTACCGGGATTCCACTGTACTAACAAATTTTGCATAATTTTCGAGGCAATTACGGAAAACTATTATACAGGGTGTTTCAAAAAGCAATATAATAACATTTAAAGAGAAAATGCAAAATTCAAGTAAGGAAATATATATCTAAAACCAGTCAAAGTAAAAGCAAAGGAAATTAATGATAATGTAAAGAGAAAAGGACAACCTTTTAAAGAAAAATCCTAAGTTTAAGTGGGATGACATATATCTTTCCCCTTTTGACATTACGGGAAATTAATATACAGGGTGTTACAAAAAGAAAACAAAAAATTAAAACGCCCAAACACTAATAAATATGGTCTATTAAATGATAAGGAATATATATTCTACTGGGTGATACACAAGGAAAAATTAAGATTTAAGTAGGAAAACGGATGGAAAGAATTAACAAGGCGACAATAACAAAATAATATAAGAAGAAAGCCATCGGGAAAACTTAAATGGCTTAAGAAATGCGAGAACATACCTTGATGCAAAATTAATTTTTGCGCTTTTGGCTTATCCAATAAATTGTAAGGACCTTAATTATGCACATTGTAGAAATGACGAAATACGCGTATCATACAAAAGGAGTATCCGACGGCCGATGGATATCACTCACGTTTTACCTCTGCGTAAAAACAATTCGCATTTAACGAACGCCGCACATCACTCGCACACAATGGATGGAGCATTTAGAAATATTACATAATGACGCGAAGAAATTAAGAAACTCAAATTATTGTGAAGAAAATGTGCGTGCAGATCACCCGACGACAAAT